GCCCACGGCACCCACCAGGGCCACCACCTTCTTTCATCAGCGCACGTTTATTTAGCCAGGCACACTGGAGCGGGTGGTGGATCTTGGAGACTGTTTCGTCCCGTGGATCGCGCGCCAACATGTAAGTTGGTTACAAGTCTCTCTGAACGGGAGGAGACGGGAGCGGAGCGCCGAGAGACAGCGAGCGCGAGCACCGCACCATCCTCCGTCCCCCAGAAGATAACGCTACCTTATGGATGACACAGCGGCGCTTCTCTCCCGCCTCTCACGTCGGCTGAGACGCCGTGTGCACGCGCGCATGTGCGCCAGCCGCAGCAGCAGCAGCAGCAATAGCATCACCACGGAGCAGCATCGTGAACGGGCGCCGCGCAGGCTCTTGTCCGCCCTTCCGCGGCGAGCCGGGCCCACGCACGCCAGGCCCGCGTGCGCACCCGGCGGTGCTGGATCGTGCGCCGCGGCGCTCAGTTATCTGGTGCGGTGGCTTGTCCCCCCTCCCTCGCCCTCCCTGCGTCTACCTCGTAGCCCTGTGTGCTGCGTGCTGCGACGTGGTCACGGCCGTTCGTTGCGAATGCTGCACGGAGTGACCTACATACGAGCCACTGCAATCTGCAATCAACTGTGCAGCACGTATGTACTTCGTATGCACAGCACGCATCAGCAAGCGTGCATTTCATTCATGCTCCGTAGGACGCCAAAACCGAACCCCTCCTCCCGTTCCCTTGTTCTGCGGTTCTGCGTTGTCAATCCGGGCGGCGGCGGGTCCGCACGCCTGCAGTCAGACAAAACGGCGACGACTGGCCCTCCGAATGCCAGGTCAGACTTGCGGCTGGAATCTCCTGCTGCTGCTGGTCTGGTTGGCCGTGGTGGTGCATTGGCGCGTTGGAGAAAGGCGTGGTGGCCCTGCCAGGAACCAGGAACCGGATTACGGGCCCCCCGTCGGGCGGCCATCTAAAACGGCGCCCAACCTCGGCGAGCGTTTTTCCCCGACAGAATGTACGTGTGCGTGTGTGTGTGTGCACGCCCACGGGTTGCGACTGGGTGTTGTCCAAGGTTCGTCTGCGGAGGCAGCGGGCTAACCGCCCGCTCCCTCGCTCCCTCATATTGCTCGCACAGACACTTTCTCTACAACAGGACACCGGATTCCATGACACGCCGATACTTGTGCCATTGCCACAATTGTTACGGCGAAATGGCCAACTTCCAAGTCTAAGTGCGCTTACGGCGCCGTTCTCTCTTTCGTTGTCAAATACTATCTAGTAATTGTTTCGAAGAAAAGACCGTACTTGCTTGCAGCTGGCGACTACAGAGTATAAATCGTCTAGAGTCTCCCTAACGCGGGAGCCCTGTCTGGCTGTGCTCCGCAGCGTCCGTTGTAAAACCCCCCCTTACGCCTGCTCCTCTCCGGGATGAAGTCTCCCATTCTCCTCGTGAGCCTTTTCCTGAGCGCACCAGCTACTTCAGCCGCTCGCTGGACTCCGAATGGCCGGCAGACGCTAGCTGCAGTCACGCAACAAATGCTCCAACACAATCGGAACATCACGGGGCTCGGGGTAAAGAAAAGTCCAACCATCTGATGAGCACCGGCTATGGAACGCTAATCGACAAGTAAATATGTCTTGCAGTGCACATTCGTGTCTCAGGTATGCTACTTTGCAAAACTCCGCGTCGATAAACAGGAGAAGCGTGGCGTGATATATTGGTTTACGGGCGTAAAGCACGTACAACTGCCATGTACTACGGGAAAGGTAAGCTCTTCCTCGTGACGCAATTCGGATACAATACAAAGTGCCACGGACGCTCAAACGAGTGGCTGACTGCCTAGTGTACGGTCGGGAATTGTACGGTCGAGTTGAACTTTCCTGTGTCGCCGGATCTTGTCAAATGCGGGTAGCGGTTCGGAGAGGCTTTTCCAATACAAACATGGGCTGAGTCTGCCATTCTGTCGCTAGAGCAGTGAATGGTACGCGATACTCTAGCTCTGGAGGTACACAATTCCTTTATTGGCTGAGGGAAGCAGCCGTAGTTGCCACGGTCAAAGGGCAAGATGCTCTTGCAACGGACACCGTCTGTTATGGTATCGAGACAGTCCAAGTGGGCGTGCATCGTCATGCTGCCGAAACAGAACACGGGCGCCAGGTTAAAACAGAACCGCCCTGTTCGTCACAACGGACCGCCGCTTTGCGGCTGCGCTCGGGGCCTCGGGCATCAACAGTGTCGCCGCCACTCGGCTGTGCATCCGCTCACCGTTTCAAAAGCAAGCAGACAGAACAGACACAGCTGGACTTGGGCGCAAGATGCCGAATCGGGCTGCAATAGTTGCACTACTTGGCGAAGCCGCTTTCGCACCCTCAGCGGGAACACCAGTCGCTACAGAGTGACCAACGGACACAACCAGCCATCCAAATTGGGCTGTAAGACACGCAGCTGGCCTGGGGTCTTTGCTTAGCGCAGGGGCCGGCACCCATCCAACCGACCCAAAAGCAAAGGCATGCCGGAGGTGTCGTGCGCAAAGAAAGCAATCGCGCGCGGCATCGTGCGTGTGGTTCCTCTTTGGGCTCCTTTGGGGAGCATTAGTGAGGCTTCGAGGCTGAATCGGGCAAGAACCGGCCCTGTAAGGAGGATGGCCTGGCGGTGCTTCGGAGCGGTGTCGAGCAATGGCGTCTCTTGCTAAGCGACGCTCCAGCCTCGACCGCTGGTTCCGGGTCCTTTTTCGCTCGAGATGGAGGCTGCCGACGGGCTCGTCTTTTCTTGGCAGGGGGGTGGTCAGAGTGACGGTCCATCGCGGAGCTCTCAGCCTTCCGGACTTACACGCAGTACGTGCTCAGCTCGGCGCCACGGCGTGCCAAACAGCTGCGTACGTCAGCGCTGGTCCGCGTGAGAGTCCAGTCTGTTATCATGTGTGCTGCCGGCCTCGATGCAGTCTGCGGCTGCGCTTAGAGATGCCCGGGTCTGCCTCGCTCGCATGCACTGTCCGGCCTCGGGGGTGCAAGGCTGGCCGGGATGGCGCATGCAACCCCTCAGGCAGGGAGCACAGACGGACAGAAGTGGTGGGGGGCCGTGGGCGGCTGCGGGAGGTGCGGTGCTTTCGGTGCTTGGTGACTTGCACGTCTTTCAAGCCTGCTTTGATAGTCGTTGTCCCCGACATGAAAGGAGGAGGGAAGCTCCGTCTTGTTTGCTCACCAGCATGAGACATAGGGTACTTCATGTTTGGTGCCTGCCCGTGCATGCAGGCCTTGGGAGTCGGTGCCGCTGTCGCAGGAAGGCACGTCCTCGGGAAAGATTGATGCCTTGATTGTCAAGTGTACGAATTACGGAGCACAATGTACAGCATTGGAAGCTTCTGGTACAGATTACCATGACTTCTGTCCCCCCGCACCTTCTCCGTAGGACAAAGTAAATGAGGTACTAACTTGGGGCAGGGACCGGAGAGTGCAGGCAGGCGCGATACGACGCAGCACACAGCACACAGCACGGAGCGCCGTTGCATCGCAGGTGCATCGCGGGTACATGGCAGGTGCAGCACGGGCGCCTTCCGCGAGCGCACGATGAGGCGCCGTCCTCTTGCCCGAGTGCAGCCGTTCCTGCCGGGCCAGCGTGACGGACAGCCCTTGCCAGGTTCACTTGATAATCCACCTGGCTGGCTGGCGGTTGGAGCCGCAGCGGGGAGCCACGGATCGTGGATGCGACGAGTCCAGAGCCTGGTCCCGCCGCTGCGCCTTTGACAGGTCTGTCTCGTCACCCGCATCCATGGTGGCCCATCCACCCTCACCGCGAGACATGCTGTGCCTCATTGCGTCGAACCTATGTGCCTGTTTTTTGTTCCTGGATCCTGCCGGCCGACAACCTGGAACCAATCGTGCAAGGCACTACGAGCGAGAACAAATCATCACCGCCGCCAACGACCAGAAGACCTGGGGTCCAGGTATCTCGGCAGGTACCATCGCGAGTCGCGACTCACCACCACCACGATCACCTCTTCCTCCACCACCACCACGGTCGCCCGCCCTGCCGTTGACCAAGGCGCCACTTGGTTAGGCGCGAGGGTGTCGAGCTCGCCGGAGCACACCATCGTCCGGTCATGGCATTGCTGAGAGCTGTCCTTGGCACCGCCCAGCACACTGCCCACCCACCGTTCATAGCTCCGCCGCTGAGGCCGCACAACGGCGTCGTTTCGCACCTCCGCAACTCGACTCCCACAACGCCCCGCAGCTCCCACCCACAGCTTCCGTCGCCACACCTCTCCAACCGTTCACCGCGCATCGTGCCTTCAGGCCAGGCGTCACTAGGCTGGCTCAGGAACGAGGACGCTGTTGGTGCGCCCGCGCCTCATGCGGCTGGTGGAGCGAGCACACATAGCGCCCGTCGCCGTGTGCGCTCGGACGCGGCCAGCAGTCGCTAGCGGCCAACCACGGCATGGTGTGTGAACCATCGCTCCCTATCTTTAGCCCCAAGGATCATCCCAACCTCAGACGGACTGCCTCGGACCGGACGGGAACCTCGCGGGAAGTTTTTCCCATCTCCGTCGCCGGCAGAGGCTGCGGATGATTTTCCACGTCGTTGCTTTTGCACTCCGAGTCCGGTCCCCCGTCTCTCCATGCTCATGCTAAACGAACGCCTTCGACTCGATCATGGGAAAGAGGACGGCAGATCCTCCATCAGTCCCGGCCTATCCGTCCGCCCCACGGCGGTGCGAGCACACTCGCGGCATCAACTTCCCGTCTCAAACGGAGTCGTGCTCCGTCCCTCTAACTTCGTACCTGGAAGTTTCTCCGCGTGGGCGCTACGGTTGCGGCTTCGAGCCAAGGAAACAAGCGACGGGTCTGGCCGCAGCCGGCCAGGGACAGGGGTGGCACGGCTCCAGTGTGGGCAGCCCCGCATCTCGACGCCATCTCGCCAGGAACAGCTCCCCTCTGCTGCCCGCATGACCATGTGCGCCAGCCTGTTTGCGCATCTGGTGCGGCGGTGGTGCGATCGTGGTGGTGTCCCGGCGCCCGACCAATCCCAACGCCCAAGGTTTGCCGCGAGACTGTGAGGGTGGAGAAACGAGCGCTGCAAGGTGTGCGCTGCAAGGTGTGCGCTTGCGTGTCATGCAAGCCCACTCCATCCACCGTGTTTCGGACAGGCTCGTTTCACCGCTCCTTTGCGCATGCCCGCCATGTATGACATCGTGGGGCCTCTGACGGCCAACCCCACGTTGCTACTGCAAGGAACCAGGGACAGGCCTGTACCGCCATACGGATGACACTCGCGTCCGCGCCCAGGTTGCTGAACACGAATGTTCTCTCGAACGAAGCACGAGCGCGGACTTTGCAACGAGCATTTCAGGCCCTGAGTTTGGTGATTGTTTCGCCCAAAGACAGGCAAACACTCCAGGACTAGGTCGAGGCTGCGAGTCCGAAGCACAACACACCCTCTCGGATATCTCGTGCCTGTAAAAGTTGGTGCACGATTGGGGCCGGCCAATGACAAACCGTAGACGGCTCGGCCAAGGTCGAGGTAGTGCTCCATTCTCACGAGAGGACTTGGCAGCTGGGCTTGCATCACCTGGGTCATGGCGCCAGGGCGTAATCATTAACAATTTCAGGCAAGCCATCGAGTACTCGTCGCAATGGTGCCAGGGACTACCAAGGACGATGCGCCCATTGGACGCCAGTGGTTCGTGGCTCCCACACACCAGAGGCGGCGGACCTCGTCGATTTCCACCTCGAGTCGTTCAAGAGGCTGAGATGCGCGGCCAATTGTTCGGGTCGGGAATGGCGCATATGCCGATGCTACGAGCACCAGACTCGCGCGCCCCGGACAACTTCGAGCATTGCAACTTTGGCGTTCAAGTTGACTACCCCGAAACTGAATGGCGGCTGAGTGGCGGCTTTGGCAGCTCCAGTCAAGAGTCAAGACTCATGTTGGTCTGCGCGGTGAAGCTTCCACCTTGGAATCCGAGGGGTGCGACGCTGAGTAACCTAGCCGCAGCTTCGCAAGCTTTGGCAATCTTGGCTTTCGTGAACGTGGAGTGGTATATTGCTCTGGCTTTCGGTGCGGCAAGGCGACAACGACCATGGCCCGTGGCTTGTCTTCATGTTCTCATCAAACCACCCACACGCCGTGGAACACGGTGAGGCCATCAGGCAATCAGCTGGACTGGGGTCGAAAGCATCACCTCTAAACCGACACCGGGGCAATATCTCGTCTCTGCAACCGTTGGAGCCCTTGGGCTTGGCGCGAATGAAGGAGCTACAGTAGGAGCATGTTACTGGCAAACTGGGTGCTGTCTGCTACAGTCGTCCACGCTGATCGTCTTGGCTGGCTCGCCCAAGAAGCTCTGTTGCAGGGCCCTCGAGGCTCGCACCATCAATGCGTCATAACATACGAAGTACAGGGCTGTAGGGATGCGGCTGTTCGTTCATCCTGGCCGACTCTTTTCCTCTGCAGCGGTCGTCATGGCCGACTGTCTGCAGCTACGGAGTACAGGCACGCGTACTTGTTGGCGTGATCGACTGCGTCGAAACCGACGATGCCCGATTTGTGGACAATGCCGATGGACACTATCGACACGCCCGCTGAGAGATATGGATCAGCCTGATTGATTGTCGAAACAAGATTGAGGCGGTTTGTGCGCGCAGAGGTGCGGTGCGGGGACGAGACATGGCAAGCATACCCATGGGCATTGAACTCGACTTCGGAGCCGGACGTGATGCGCATAGACGGGTCATGGGGGCGCCTGCAGGGAGACGGGGTGTAGTGTTGGTGGCGGCACAACATCTCAAGACAGCCAGGCCACCTCTCCCAACCCAAGGCATTGGCGTTTCGTCTCGTTGCCAGCGAGTCGTCACAAAAGGCCATGACGGCAGGCAGAGCCGTGTCGTACGGCATGCCCGCCCCGCCTACTGAAGCAGCTGAGTCTCCGTGGCAGCGTCGATCCAGGGGGCGTTGCGGAGAGGGACACGCGGGCCGGGTGGCTGCGCCATCCATCTTTGGGGGTTTGGCACTGGCTTCGCATGCGCATATTCCGCGTGCACTTCGTACGACGAGCGCGAGGCCATGCACAACAGCCACGAGACCGCATTGACACCCACCAACGGCGTGCGAGGACGGAGAACGGGCTGCAGACAGACAAGGAGTGCGAAGCGCAGTGTTCGGCGCATGCAAACCAACCAACACAGAGCGGTTCGTCCGCAGCCAAGCATTACCCGTTGGGACCGGCTTTGTGACAAGTGAGAAGCGACGAGTGGCGCGGGCAGGCATTCGTCTGGTCCGAGGTCAGGCTCCCTCTTCCAGTCCCCCCTGCGTCCCGCGCAACGGCAGTTGGTCGTCGAGTCTGCGATGACTCGGTTGGTCCACCGATGCGACGAGACGCAAGGGATGGGTGTTCGCATCACGCGCATGCCGATGGAACGCTACGGGTGACAGAGAAGCAAAGAAAAGGAAAGGATAACGCTGCCAGAAGCCGCCAAGTCCCGAAGTGCCAGGGGTTCGAGTCTCGACAGTTGGACGTCAGATTTACGGCTGCCGACACAGGCTGGGAAGCAGGCCGACGGAGCAAGCAACCAGACGGTGCGCTGCAGTCAACAAAGGGCTGGCCTGCAGCCGGAGAAATTGCGAGGAATGCTTTGGCCGGGCCGTCCTTCACCACACAACCCGGTCTCGAAACCGGGCCATGCAGCGCATGGGCGGCGAATGCCTGGCCGCAGGACACGTGGGCATCGTGCATGCTGGTCGGCCTGCTTACTGATTGCCGGATGCACACCCCGTTCTCCGTACGTAGCCGTCGACCCTTGCGTGCCAGGTCGACGGGCACATCGGAGTCATTGATGGCCCCGAGAGCTGCCCCTTCATCTGCATTCGAGCCACTGATGCGCTAGGAGACCTTGGACGGTCCTTCTCAGCAAGAACAAAGAGGCCAGCCCCTGTGATTAGCATGTTGTGTCGGGTGCTGGCTTGGACCTGCCAACGCGCCACAAACAGGTTCTTGACAAGCCGCAGACGCCCCAGGGCGAGGATGGCATGGGTTATTGGGTATAGCAGTTGCGATATTGGGCTGTCCAAACTGCACCACGCTCGGTTCGTTGCTGACGCCGCCGATGCAACCACCCACGGGGATACCAATCTCAAATCGCGTCTGAATCAGCATTACGACAGCATGGAGCAACCCGTCTCGTCCAGACGAGACTGGACCTCGCAGCCTTACTGCGAGGCTGCGATGGTGAAGACATAATCGACGGCGGACCACGTATCATGCGCCCACCACTACCCCGTCCAGTCTGGAACCTGGCTGCCGGTATCAAAAGGCAGCCCTAGCCTTGTGGTTGGACAAAGCCGACGTCGCCCTCTGGCGAATGAGGTTGCCAAACCGGCCCTCGATCAGTTCGCCATGGCGCACCACGTCGCCGGCTGGTTCGTCCTCGCAGTAACACGTCAGCTGTTAAGTGCTTAGGCTGCTGCCCGAGTTGAGAGCGTCATGGAAGCCATTTGCTCCAGAGTGTTCGGCAATTCGAGGTGGGCCACACTTGAAGAGACACTAGCGAGTTCATGGACCGCTTCTCTCTGGCTCGGGGAGCCAGAGGAGGTGAGTGGTATGTAAGGGCTGACCAGGGCGGCGGGCGCAGAGCCGCGCTCGGTGAGAATTGTGCTGATGGTGATGGCGTTGCAGCCGGTGGCTCGGTGTCTTGCCGTGCACATTGTCAGCACGAAGTAGCATCATGGCAAGCGTCGCATCGGGACTGTGCTGGGGTCCATAGGCACACTCGACACGTCAAGTGTCGACTACGCGGAGCTGTCCAGTCCAGAGGACGCGGTGCCTATTCCTCCGAGGCAAGCGTTTCAAAGCAACGGCGCGTCAAGTGTGGCATCCGCCTGCCTGGCACGACGAGAAGCCTACAGAGGCAAGACCCGGGCGTGGAAAGGGGCGCGGTGCGCACCCACACGCCTCGCATCCAGGGGTATCCCACGCACTTCATCTTGTCTATTCGCCTGCTACTGCTGCGGCTGCTGCTGCTCCTCCTTCCAGGCAGCATACTTGCGGTACACGTCACGTCGGAACGTCTGCTTCAACTCGCCCACGACGGCGGCATCCAGGGGCAGCGCTGCCTGGACGGCACCCACGCCGCACAGCCCGTTGGAGCGGTCGATGAACCAGGCGAGCGTCATGCCGCCGCCCCAGGTCATGGTGCGCTCGCCGTACCAGCCGTCGACGCTCTCGAGGGTCAGGAGGCCGCCCAGCCCGTAGCCCATCTTGGTGCCCGGGTCGACGCCGACGCGAAAGAAGATGCCGGCCGGGCTGGCTAGGGCGGCCGCATGTCCCGCGGTGGCCTCGGGGCTCAGGTGGTGCTCGAACATGTCGTCGACGGTGTCGGGTCGCAGCAGCTTGCCGTCGTTGGCCAGCAGCGACCGCAACACCTTGGCGAAGTCGGCACCCGACATGAAGAGCCCGTGGCCACCAAAGTCGCCCTCGCTGCGCTTGTTCATGTCGCCGCCGCCCCCGAGCGGCGCCCGACCAAGGGCCTCGGGGTCCTGCGGGTTGAGGTCGACGAGGCGCGCGCGTAGGTCCTCACGCGTCACGGGATAGAACTGCGCAGAGTTGATGCCCAGCGGCGTGAAGATGCGCTCCTGCATGCGCTCCCCGAGCGTGCGGCCCGTCGCCCGCTCCACCAGCCGGCCGGCCCAGTCCAGCCCGGGCCCGTACATCCAGCCGGCGCCGGGCTGGAACCCGAGCGGGTAGCTGAAGGCCTCCTCGACGGGGCGGCGCACGCCCTCGGGCGGGTACGGCGCGAACCGCTCGCGCCACTTGCCGACCGCCGGGCTCAGGAAGTCGTAGCTCGCGCCGGAGCTGTGCGTGAGCAGCATCTCGAGCGTGATGGGCCGCGCCGCAGGCTCGAGCACCGGTGCTTCGGCGTCGCCTTCGCCGGAGAAGCCCGTGAGGACCTGCTTGGATGCGAGCTCGGGCGCGAGCGCCGCCACGTCGCCCCGCAGCGTGAGGAGCCCGTCGTCGACGCACTGCATGGCGGCGACGGCAGTGATGAGCTTGGTGGCCGACGCCAGGTACAGCACGTCGTCGAGCTGCTCTGGACGCTTCTCGCCGGACAGAAGAGTGCGCTCGCCGAGGGCCCTGTCGTACACGAAGCGGCCCGTCGCGTCGGCCGCGCAGATGACGGCGCCATGGATCTTGCCCGCGTCAATGGCGGCCCCGAACGCGGCCTCGATGCTGCTGTCGCCCATATTGTCCGTGTGTTTGCGCGTTTCCGTGTGCGTGCGTGTGCGTGCGCCAGTCGTTACAAGAGGGGTTTCCCGCGCTGCATGCAGGATGGGGAGGCCTGGAAGATGGTGAGTGTCGGACGGGGAGTATTATACCGACGTATTGCTGCGGAGCGAGCTAACACTGCGAGTCTACGTCACAACGTCTGCACCTCGGCCGCGGCTCAATGGAGACATAATGAACAGCCTCGCACTCGAACTTGCCATGTTTCTCTCATAATCTTTCCGTATCACTCCTAGGCCGTGTAAGCTCTCGCTTTTGACTTTTTCTCACGCACAAGCTCCTATGGTAGGACGGAAGCTGACCACGCATCATCCCTTTAAAAGTCGGATGTCGCGATTTCAAGTGGTCCGCCACGGACGCCGCATGAGAGACTCAGCATCGCCTCCGTTGTCATTCAGCCGGCCAGACCGAGTCGGCCCCTACAAATACCGCGAATGCTTTCGCAGAGGCTTTGACACGTCTGCTGGTCAGAAGCTGGGATACGTAGTACTGCCGTCAGCATCCCCCGGGGTCGAGCATTCAAGTACATCGCGAATAAGCACCTCTCATCGCGGTCCGGCGACCGAGTTCTGCTACCTCCGGGAACATCCAATCTGGCTCATCTCACGGGGACGCTTGGTCCTGGATCAACAGGCTGTTTGCCAGCGCGCCATTTCCCCTTCACTAGGTGTGGGAAGCGGCCCGCCGGGTGAGTCACTCGCCGCGCACAAGCAAGCTTCTCTTGCTTACCACCTTTCAACAAACCCGCAAACGCAACAGTTAAAACCGACATCTGCACTTCAGCGCAATGCGTAGTCACAATTTGTGCAAACTACACAAGCATCACGAATGCGGGGTCTGTTCTCCCGCGGGCAACAAGCACATGTGCTGCACATCAAGCCGCTTTGTATTACGCATGCGCCGGATGTCTTCAGACAGTCAAGTGAGCCTTGGCAGGTCAGAAGGATTGACAACATCTCGTCTCAGATGACGGAACCGACTTTCCAGCCCTGGTCGTCGTTGCTTAGGCACCGCCCGGGAAGGTTTTTGAGGACGTTGCGTCGCGTGACCATGAGAGAGAGCTCTACGGATCCTTCAGAGGACTCGTCAAGTTACTGGGATTGTCCACGACGAGCCAATCGTCCCCCCTGAGGAACCCCTATCCCCCACAAACATCGCCAGGGGGGGTTACGTAGCTTCTCGACTGATACTGTCGCCTCGATCAAGCTCCGCGGGGAGACATATGGCTATCCAGAGAAGTCTCTCTGTCCGTCACCCAACGCCACCCAGGCTTCAAGTCCATGGTGTCTTGTCCCTCTAAAGGCAAGCAAGCAGGCAGCGGCAGCAGCAGCAGCCTCATACTCCCGTGTCTGACTCCATCACCCAATCCACCACCTTACCGCCCTGACCAGTACGACCCTCCTCTGTAGCCGCAGGACGCCAAGTCTTCACGCACGAAGCACTCTATGCTGCATACAAGCCTTGCAACCGAGCACGGCCTGCTCCTCCTCGCTCCTCCTCGCACCGAAATATGCGACTCTCCACCGCGCCGTAGCACAGCATGAATGTGACACCTGATCCTATCCGGCGACTGCCGGGACGCGCGTCTCAGGATTCAGGGCCGCGCCAACGGCATCGCTGCCGTGGCGGCGGAAGTGGTTGATATCTGCAGCATTGGCCGCGCCTCCGGGCCGCGGGTCATCGTCATGCCCCCGCACGCCTACTGTCCAACACGTGTGGATCTGCAAGGATCGTCGACTGGAGCACGCGAGGACGGCCCGGCATTGTGTGGGCAGGTATCGATACTACGCGCGTGAAGTGGCAAGCTCAACAGAGGCCATGGGCGAACAAACCAAGCACCGCGCTGCACGTAGGGAAACCGCGAGACAGTCGCGGCCAAGAGTTGGGCTCGTCCGCATCGTCGCGTTGTCAACGGTCAACACAGGCAAGCAGAGGACACCGAGAGTCAAGGTTCTATAGCATCAAAACTGTCTTTCCTACTACTCCTTTCGCCTCCTGCTATGATGAAAATCGCAAGCGAAGCAGCGCGCAACCATCCTCCAACAGAGTTGTGGCGGCCACCAGCAAACACTCTACCCTTCTCGCCATTACCTGGGGCCACGCACAACAATGCTAGAATTGTACAATCGCCAAGGAGTGTGGGCGTCCTCCCCGGCACCGCGTCCAAAAAAAACAAATATCGTAAGCCCCTCGTCGTTTCGTCGTCCTGTTGCTCATCAGGTGGGGTAATCGTCGTGTGAGGGAGTGCGCGCGGAAGAGAAAATTGTACTGGGTAAAGAAGTGGGTACAGAGAATCGAAGACGATGTCGGCCCAGTCGGGCTGCCCGACGAAGCCTGAAGCTCGCCCGGGGGGCGCCACTGAAGGCTCGTCGGATCGGGACGCGAAGTCGTTCTCTAGATGAGGTAGGCCAGGAGGCCAATGGCGGCGGCGGCGGCGGCACCGTTGCCGGCCGGGGCCATGGTAGGGGCAGCGAGGCCGGTCGAGGTGGACGTCGTGGAAGCTTTGCTGCCAGTGGCAGAGGCGGAGCCAGTGGCCGAGGGGGTGCCGCTGACCGAGCTCGAGCTCTCATCGCTGACCGGCGCCTTAGGCGGGTCATTCTTGCCACAGAGGTTCTTGATGTTGGTGGTGCAAGCCTTCTGGCCGTCTGCGTTGCCAACGTTCTGCTCGTTGCATTGGCCGAAGAGGGCATCGCAAATGAAGGTGGGCATGGTCTGCGTGTAGTACTGCAGGCCAGGCGCTGAGGAGTTGGACGCGCATGTGCATTCATACTTGAGGTCCTCCTGGATTGTGCGCGGTCAGCGCGGGCTCGAGCAAGCACAGGCAGGCCGGCAGGCAGGAGTGAGTGGCTTACCTGGGCACAACTGTTCTTGTCAGTGTCGTTGTTGCAGAGGAGGTTGCAGGTGTTGGTCTGAGCCTGGCACCATTGCGCTGCGTAAACCATGTTAGCAAGCTGTTCTGCATAAACGGATCGCCAGAGACTGGGGATGGGCAGCTCGGCCGTGGGGCAGCGAGTGCGCCACCAAGTCGCGAAGAGCACGTACCTCGAATCTGAAGCTGTACGGTGTTGGGGTCGATCTTCATGTCCAGCTCGCTGGTGTAGTTCTGCTGGGCCGACACCGCAGCGGCGGCGAAGGCGACGAGGGCGGCGGAAGCGCGCATTGCTGGTGATGTGAGGGAATTGGACGGGGAAAAGTGTGTGTCTAAGCTCTGCGGCGGCACACGGAGGCGGATAGAGGCCGACGATGAGTCTGAAATGCAGTCAGAGAGGCGTGGGTGAGTGGACGCAGTAGCTGATGCTGTTTCTGATGCGATTGATGATGGAGTGTTTCTGGTTGCAGTGCGAGACGCAAGAGAAGAAAAGAGGGAGAGGTTGCAGCGGGAGAGGGAGAGGAGAGAGAGGTTGGGTCGGCAGCCAAGTCCGAGGAAAGTGGTGGGCAGGTGGGCGGCAGGTGGGCGGCCGGGCTTGGTGTGGGAGTGGGCGAGGGTGGTGCCCGGGTGGTGGTGTTTTTGTTGGAAGCGACGAGCGGAGTGAGTGCGTGAGTGAGTGAGTGAGTGGGGGAGAGGCCGGGCATGGAAAGCGCGACGATGGGCCATGCGAAAACGGATGTTGCCAGTTTCCGCACCACTGGGCTTGGCACACGGCAACCGGGAAGGAACCACCTCCGCCAGCAGGCCAGCCGGCGAAGGAGCAAAAATGTACTTGTACTCGTACTTGTACATGCAGCGCAAAACTGTGCAACGTATTGGACGAACGCGACGAGCGCAAGGCATCGTACGAGCCGGCACTGATCCAGAGGAGCAGCATGAAGCAGGCTGTTGTTACTGGCAGTACAGTACAGTACCTCGCGAGACCGAGGCAGGAGAGCGCCTGATTCCATGCCGGCACGCCGATGCTGCACAGGCGTGGCTCGGCACAATCTCAAGCGACGTAACATGTTACACGTAGTACGAGTACTCGCACAGGCAGGCAGGGACGGACAGGTTTCTAGTACAAAGTACTCCGTACCTTTTCTGCCAAACGCACTTGCCTCCGTCGCAGACAGACAGACAGACAGACAGCCTCAGGCAAGACAGGCGCGCCAGACAGGAACAGCAGGAACCGCCCGCCCTCGGCCGCATCCAGCGGCAAGCACCAGCCATCGGTCGGGCCGTGTCGCATTTTCGCCCTGGGCCCTGGCGCGCTCTCCTGGGGTACCTGGCATCTGGCAGCAAGTTGGGCAGGTGCGGCCAGGGGCGCTGGTTGCACTGGCTGCGCTGCACTGGCCACTCACGAAGGGGTGACTGATTGATCGAGGTGGTCGTGCTCCGGCATGGCAATTTGCTTGGCTCACATTTCTCCCCTCCCAACACCCGCGCCGCCCGATAACAACAGAGGAAGAAAAAAAAAGCTCCTCCGCCCGCCGGCCCAAAAGGCAAAAGGCCAGCCGCCACAGGCACTACGATGCCGTCCGTCGCCGGGGCCAGGGTCGCAAGTGAGTCTCGGCATGGCGCTAGCGGCCACTGGCCCGGTCTGGACAGGGAAGGCAAGTTCCCCATCTTTTCTGCTGCCCGTTGGCGGCATCGTGCATGACTGACGACGGGCTCGACCCACGGATCCAGCGGGCGGCCGCGCCAGCCACGATATGCCCGCCACGGCTCTCCACCCGATCAGTGCTGTTGCATCCACCGGCGGCCGCCAAAACGTCATTCATCCAGGCGTTGTCGCTTCATTTCGCTCCTCTTCCGCCTCGCGCCGCTCCTCGTCCCCGGCCGAGCGCAACAGTGGGATTCAATTCGATGCACGAGCCACAACGCGAGTCGATCGGCGACGGCATGAGACGGCAGTTGGGTCAGAGACAGCCAAGCCGGACTCCCGGCGCTCATGCGCGACGTCGCCTGACGGTTGCTGGGGCATCCGCTTCCCATTCCTCCTGCTCATGCTCTGGCGCCGCCGGAGGCCATGTCCGCCGCGCTTTTTGCTGGCTGGCCGGCATGGGCCTGGCGTGGCATAAATGGCCATGTCTCCGGCTCGAGCGGCGCCCACCCGCCCCGACGGCCAGCAATTGGCGCGCGCGCGGCCCAATTTGATTCATGTCTTGGGTGCATCGCATCGTCACCCTCGTGCTCGACTGTCCCCGCACCAGGCTCGGAACACCCATGTCGGCCGGAGACGAAGCCAATTCCCTGGCACCACCCGCGTTTCACCTTGATCGCTCTGCTTATCTCGAGACCTCTCTCCAACCTCCGCAGCTGGATCGGTCCGTGTCGCGAGGTCGCCCTCGCTTTATACAATTGCCCCGTGGCTGGAGGAGGCGCTGTGACGTTGACGAACCGCGCTGCCTCGCAACGACTTCCTCCAGTAGCATGCCCCGTTGGCTTGTGGCCCTCGGCCCCGGGCAAGGATGAGCTGTCCCCAACACGGCTAGCTGCAGCCTCCCAGCCCCCTCGTCCCTGACGAGGGGCAGCGTTGCCTGTGGCGCATCCGCATTGTCGGACACGAAGCTGGACGCTGCAGTGGAGGTGCGGGCAGCTGCCTGTTTGGCTGCGCTCGCAGTTGGAGGCAGCACCTCGAGGCGCCACCAGGTCCTCCCATCGAACTTTGTCGCCCACCTTTGGGTCGTCTCCATTCCCACGACCGTGAAGCCCTCGCTCAGATGCCTCAAAGCCCATCATCCGTGGAAACGACCCGCTTCGTTGCCAGAATCTCGTCGGTGGTACTGTTGGGCTTTCTCATGGCGCAACGGATCGTAGTACATTTCATCAACGTATTAGTGCCCAATTCAAACCCGCGCGCTCCTGCTCAGCGCAGGTCGTTCAAGCAATCGCTGGATTAGCTGCTTCGTATTGCAGACACGTCAACTCGGGACTCGGCCTTGGCACCTTTAAGCGTACACTAATCGTACGCGGGCCGCATTGCCTGGAGCATGTCGTATGTGCGGAGCAGATTGGCACGAGAACGACGGGCGTCAGTAAAGCGCGTGGGCCTTCGTGTAAGTTGCCAAGCGGCATCATACAATTGCATCGTGAACACCACAGAGCGACCGAGTCAAAAAGCAACATATTCCAATCTACGGCCAACATGTGAGGGTTGTACTGTGCTCGGTCGAAGGAAGTATGCAAGCACTGTGAACGGTCGTCTGCCAACCGGTTGGGGGCCTTGTCCAACCAAAGTTGTGTGTGATGTCGACTATCCAACATCGTCGCTCCAGATGCAAACTGCTATCTTTTCCCCCATATAGAGCTTGTAAAGGTGTCTAATACACTCCGTTCATTGAACTGGTTTCGAGAATGCAGATCATATATGGCTTCCAAGAGGTCTACGGCAGCTTGAACCGGCTACTGGCGGCAGGCAGCGTGCTGTTCTGGCCACGGCTTCATTATCTCTTGTTAATCCTAGTCAGTATTCATGGAGTTTATAGCTTCAGCGCACGAGCGAGCAGCCGCTTGCGGAAGGGAGTCGAAAGTCAGGCCACAGCTGAGCAGAAGCGGTGCGAAACCTCTCACAGGTTGTTGCTCGTAGGCGCGGTTTGCGGGCTGATGGGCTGCCTCATCAATATCCAGCGTGCTGCCAACCTGCTGAGCATACTCGCTCCTTGGGTAAAAACCTCGCTCAACTCTGATCCTGTGACAAACTCCAGCTGATACTTCCTAGACTGTCCTGGTCGGCCACGTCATTGCCACGCGCAGTGAGCGGAACCCTGCAGATCGGTTTCGAGCCGCCATGAACGGTGCCGCTTGTGGTGCTCTTCTTGCCGTTCTCTCTGGCAGTCCTCTCTATGAGCTCACGCAGTCCAACACGAGTCTGGCGCTTTCTGGCCCGGCCTTTGTGATTTCTCTGTGCTCGCTTGGCGGCTTCCTCTCTGTCCCTCGGCAAGCGGACGTGTTCTTTCGGGGCAGATTGGTTGATCGTCAACACACAGCGTCGCTCCTTGAGCTTCTGACGTTTACCTGGCCTAGCAAGATATTTCGCCTGGAGAATGTGCGGTTGATGGGGGTGAAAGACTTGCCTATCGTTCATCCTGACTTGAGAGCGCAGCATCTTTGTCAACATGGTCAGGTTACCAGCCGCAGCTCGCAGAGGCTGGTCGTTCGCTTGGCCAGGGCACATACGCATGCACTATTCCTGCAATGGGGTCTCGCAGCTTGCAAGTCTGTCGTCGTCATGACACCTCACTTGATCGTTCACCATTTATTGCAGCGGCTTAGTAGCGAGAGCGAACAGTCCACCGGCCACGGCGGTGTTGCCCTTGCGCTCCTTCTTGGGGCTTCCAAGATGGCTGGAGTAGCGCTAGACTCGTGGCTGAGCTGGGTCACGTCCAGCAAGATCCAGTTCCCGATGCAGGCGACGCTCAACTCCATGGTATATCGCAAGGCGTTGTGCCTGCCAAACGCCGCAGACGGGGCAGGACAGGGTTCAAAGACGTCGATATTTGCTCAGATGAGGAGCAGAAGGTAAGCGGGATGTGTTTGACACCGATGAGAATCTCCGTTGAATTTGGGTATAGTGCCAGAGCGTGCATGTTATTCACTGACACGCATCGTGTCGCGATGACTGTTGCCAAGCTGATGTGGACGACGACTCTATTGGCCAGACTGACGGGATGGAAGAGTCTGATGACCGGGCTACTGGCATCAGCGCTTGTCATGCCGTGTAGTGCTCTCCTAACCAAGAGGTATGGCATTACAAAGGCAGAGCAGGCAAATATTGAGCGAGAGCGGTCCGGTGTACTCGCAGCTGCCCTGCTGGCGGTTCGGCAGATAAAACTCGCCTCTGCGGAAGAGACCTGGAAGCTGAGGATACAGCAACTAAGGGACAAGGAGCTTAAGCATCTGCTCACTGGTGCCGTCTGGCTATCGCTGCTCGTTTTCGTGGCAAACATCAGCCCCGTTATCCTCGCCGGTGTTCCGATATACATCTTCACGCTACAGGGCTACAAGCTGACCGCATCAATCGCATTTACCTCCATCAGTCTGTTCCGGCAGCTTCAGTCGGACATATCCTACCTGCCTCTGATCACTCCGTACATATGGGAGGCTTGGATGGACCTTTGTCGGCTGGAGGCGTTCTTTGCCCAGGACGAGCTGGATAAGACTCAAGTCACACCGGCCAAAACGGTGAAGCTGGAGAAAGCAGCTGTTACCTGGCATGCTACCGGGAGCAAGGAGAACAAGGCCTTTACGCTGAAGGACCTGTCTGTGCAGTTTCCGAACGGTGAGCTCAGCGTAATAACTGGGAATACCGGGTCTGGAAAATCGTTGCTGCTGGCTGCCATTGCGGGCGAAGCCAGGCTTCTTTCTGGTAGCATCCACCGTCCATGTAGCAGTGCGAACTCCGATATCAAAGCCGATGATACCTGGATCTCTGCGGGTCAGATGGCTCTCGTAACGCAGTCCCCCTGGATGGACAACACCACAATTCGCGAGAACATTCTCTTCGGCCTCCCTTTCGACGAGGAACGGTACGCTCGCGCCCTCCATAGCTGCGCCCTCAAGAAAGACCTCGCCACGCTCAAGGATGGCGACTCTACGCTCGTGGGCATCAAGGGCGTCACGCTGAGCGGCGGGCAGCGCTGGCGTGTCGCCCTCGCGCGGGCGCTGTACTCGCGGGCCAGCCTCTTGCTACTGGACGATGTCTTGAGCGCTGTTGACGCAGAGGTTCGTGAGTGGATCGTTGAGAGGGCGCTCTTTGGGGACCTTGCCAGGGGGCGTACGCGTATCCTGGTGACGCATCATGTGTCGCATTGCGTGGCGAGAGCTGCGTGCCTGGTTCGCCTTTGCGACGGGAAAGCACAGATCCAGTTTCGACATCCTCCGCCAACTGATGTGCCGAGACAACAGGATTCTCGCCATGTTCTTGCTGATCAAGTTCATTTAGAAGATCTGTCGACTGCAGAGCGCAAGATAGACTCAAGTGCAAGAAAGGAAGCAAAACAGATCTCATCGGAAACACTCCAGAAACCACTACCGAGTTCTTACCGGACGTATTTTATCGCCACGGGCGGCACCCCAAGCTGGCTACTTGCCTTGCTGAGCGCTACGACATGTGAACTAGTCGGTCTTGCTACAGCATGGTGGCTCAAGGAATGGGCCTCTCAAGACAAGTCCCGACATTATCAGGAGCGCCGCGTTCTCTCTTACGGCGCAACCTATATACTGGTGGCCACTTTAAGCTGCCTTGTCACTGCCGCTAGGTGCGCTGTGTGGTATAGTATCGGTTTGAAAGCCTCCAGGAATCTCTTCCGGGCCATGACGGCGGCCATCTTCGGGGCGAAGCTCCTGTGGCTGGAGGGGACATCGCACGGGGAGATTCTTACGCGATTCACGTCGGACATGAACGCTGTCGATGAGCGACTGTCGCATGGTGTGGGCTACATGATTGAAAGCGTGGCAAAGCTCTTGTCCATCTTGTTTACGAGGTGCGTCGCTTCTTCCTCCCCGAAAGCCTTCCTTGCACTGACTTGGTTATAAGTGCATCGTTCTCTCTCTATGATGTGTCCCTTTTCGCCGCGCTGCTGTACTGTTACTTGACCATAGGGATGCGCCTCGTTTCCGTACTGCGAAGACTCAAAACTATCAGGCAGACGGCGGCATCGTCCTTGCAGCAGCACGTCACCGCCGTGCAAACTCCAGATGGCGTGCCGACTGTGCGTGCCTACGGCATGTCTGCCTTTTTTATAGATCGCATGCACGAGCTCATCGATGACAACACGTCGAGCATCTGGCACATGACACTGTGCCGCGTCATGATGGATCTTCAGCTCGGGATGTTGGGTGCCCTCTTCGTCACGTCGTCGTGCTTGGCAGTCTGTCTGGCCGGGGCGGACGCCGGTACGGCTGGCGTTGCGCTGTCCTTTGCTATGCAGTTCAATGCCACGATGGCTGGCTTTCTCAAGAGAATAGCCACTGTGGAGTCTGGTCTGAGTAGCGTGGGTAGGATTGCCGAGTACAGCAGAGTTCCTCAGGAGCCGTCGTCGGGGATTGATGTGCCAGAGTCTTGGCCGTCGAAGGGTGGTATCCAAGTGAAAGGCTTGACGGCGGGCTATCACCCGGGCCTACCTGCTGCTTTGAATGGTGTCACGTTTTCTATCAAGCCTCGTGAACGGGTTGGTGTCGTGGGACGAACAGGGGCGGGCAAGTCCTCGCTCACGCTGGCGTTGGCGAGACTGATTGATCTCCGACAGGGGAGCATAGCGATCGACGACATCGACATCTCCACGGTCAAGCTCAACGTGCTACGCCGTCGCATCCTCATCATCCCGCAGGGCCCTCATCTTTTCGCCGGCTCCCTACGCTCGACGCTGGATCCTCACGGAACACACGATGACGGGACGCTCATAACGTTACTGAAGCGACTCCGGCTCCACGCCACCACCGGCGAAGACGGCACGGACATGCCGTTCACAAACCTGTCATTCACGATCGAAGACGGCGGGCGCAACATCTCGCAGGGGCAGCGCCAACTCCTCTGTCTGGCCAGCGCTCTTCTGTCCCGCAAGAGAATCGTCATCATGGACGAGGCCACGAGCGCGCTGGACATGGAGACTGACGTGGCGATCCAGGCGGCCATCAGGGAGGGGTTGCCCGATGCGACTGTCGTGGTGGTGGCGCATCGCCTGGCTACGGTTGCGGGGTTTGACAAGGTGCTTGTTCTTGAGGACGGGAGGGCGGTGGAGTTTGGTGAGCCGAGGGAGCTGTATCTGCGGAGGCAGCATTTCTGGAGGCTGGTGAGGTGTAGCTCGGATCAGGAAGAGTTGGCGGAGAGGATCATGGGTGGTGAGTCCTCTCGCAATAGTTGTGAGTGAAGCTGTTCGCTAATCTATTGGGGTTCCAGGAGAATAGACGCAAGAGAGTTTAGCAGTCATGTTTCCCCTTCGTAGATTTCCTTCTAAAGTGTCTCCCCGATGAAGGCCCTACCCCTGAATATGATGCTTCAACTTACAACTAACATCACCAAAGATACTCACGACGCCCATACCCCGAGATTAGGACAACACTGTGAGCGGAGTTCGTGTTCTGCGTTGCTTCCGGAGAATTCGAACGGCCACAAGGTGAAATGATGAAGCAAAGCAGTCTAGGCGTTCTTTCATCAGTCGACTCTCATAGCCGCCCCATACAGGGTAAGCAGGATCGCCGCCGGGCGGGCCCTTGAAGTCCCGGCGGCAGGTGAGCGGGCGCTATCTTATCGGGCGTGGGGCAGCCACCAACAAGTGCCCCGGGAGATGTCACCACCACGCGAGCAGCAACCTACCTAACTAACCCCCCCCCGTGCTTGACTGCTAACTTAGCCACTTGCGTATATCATCACCACCCGGCCAACACCAAACCCTCAGATTCCAGCAGAACGCCGCTTCCGCCACGCACCAGCTCCCCCACCCCCCCGCGGCGTCGTCATCGTCAAGGGATCGCGGCAAAGGCAAGCGTCTGTCCCATCAATGACAGCCTCGGACAGCGACGACGACCACCTCGTCCTTTGCCAGGCGCAGACGCCGCCGCCGCCATGGACCGGCTCCCGCGCGAGCTGGTAGACGCCATCCTGCTCAAGTGCCTCGCGGGGGAGTCCAAGAACGAGGTGCTCGAGCTGCGCCTCGTGTGCCGCGTCTTCGACCGCACCCTCAAGCCCTACGCGTGCCGCACCCTGGGCCTCGACTTCTCGCGCCTCAGCAGGCTGAGCGGCTTCCGCAGGCCGCAGGAGGACGCCCTGCAGACCATCGGCTACCACTGCAAGAGCCTCTACGTCGACCTCATGGTGCTTCGAGATGACAGTGCGTTTTGCCCCTTTCACCAAGCTACCGAGCCCCGTCCCGTCTTCTGACCAGTTGCTGACTCGTCGAACCCGAACCAGTGGAAGTCGAGTTCCTCGAGACCGTCTTCGCGCGGGTCCCGTCCATGACCGAGTTCTGCCAGACCATGCAGCGCAAGTACTGCCTCAACGACGCCTCCTTCACCGAGACGGAGTACCTGGACACGCTCGAGACGATGCTCTTCAACTGCCGCGACGTCGACCGGCTGCGGCTCAACCTCCCCTTCCAGCTCGTCGGGCGGCACGTCAACGCCGCCACCATGATCCTCGCCAACACGCTCAAGGCCTTTGCCAACCGGCCCGAAGAGGACTCGGCCGACCTGCACACGCTCGTCCTCGAAAACGTCACCGACGTGGCCATCTGCCACCTGTGGATGAACCCCAGCGACGTCATGAACATCATGGGCGTCGTCGCCGTCCTCAAGCACCTCGTCCTCACCCTGCGCCGCCACGAGAACGAGCCCCCGCGCGTCGGCTGGTTCGGCGCCTGCCTCTGGAACCTCATCGAGAACGCGGGCCTGCTCGAGTCGCTCTGCCTCATCGGCATGGACCAGGAGGACAAGCCCCCGCGCGGGCTCAAGCAGACGCGCTTCTGGCAGCTGCCCCTCGACGAGTGGCGCGCCCGCTCCCTGCCCGCCCCGCGCGTCTACCTCGCCCACCTCGCCCACCTCGAGCTCAAGCGCGTCGAGATGCTGCCCGAGATCCTCGTCAAGATGATGGAGGAGCTGGGCGAGACCCTCGAGGAGCTCTACCTCAACGAGGTCTACCTCAAGGCCGAGCAGGGCCGCGACTGGAACGTCGACTCCAAGAAGGTGCTCTGGGTCGGCCTACCCAACGTGCGACCCCCCGACGACTGCCAGTGGCTCGCCATGGCCGTCCGCTGCGCCGCCCCGCGCCTGCGCCTCTGCCGCGCGAGCTTCCTTGCCTACGACCACTACCTCCGCGAGGACTGTGCCTCCGCCCCGGACTTTGACCTCGTCGACCCCTGCGGCCTCGGCCGCGGCCTCTCCCAGCGCTTCGTCGAGGTCGTCCTGGGCGTGCCCCAGCCCAACGACCCCTCGTCTGGCGACCCCGTTGAGTACTTGCCCCGGGATCCCGTCGACGACCACTTCATCGCCCCGCAGCCACGCTCCTCTCAGCCTCCCTCTCAAACAACTGAACATGATCCAAATCCCCCTCACCAAGACCCGCAGCAGCAGCAACACCAGCAGGGTCGTATACAACAAGATCAACAGGAAACACACAATGGACACAACGAAGACCGTCCATCACCCCCGCCGCCGCCTTCAGACCCAACGCCCGTCCCGGCGCGCATCCCCCTCCGCATCGAGGACTACGACGTCAACGCCTACCAGACGGCCGTCGCCAACCCGACGTCGCAGTGGCACAAGAGCATCGACGGCGTCTTCGCAAACTGCAACCAGAACACGCTCGACGAGCTGCACTACATCGCCGAGACGGCCTGCCGCGGCATGAACGAGATTCACCGCCGCAGGAGCGAGTGGACCGCCGGCAACAGCATGGCCAACGAGTACGCCGACAACCTCATCAACCACCTCCCGCCCTCCGAGGACGCGGAGCAGGACGCGGCGTGAGGGAAGGGGCATTCTCCTCATGCACGAGTGTCGGGTCTATTTCTTCGAAGAAAGGAGGAAAGAGGATAGTCAAATGGTCATGGCAAGCGGGCGTTTTCCCCATTTTCTAAAGACGTCTTTTTGGTCTCGTTAATGCAGCTAATATACCCCCACCCACATCCGGATCGGCTTTGCCTCTCTGCTTGTATATAGGAGAGCGTACATGGCTCGTCCGCCAAGAGATGGCTTTTTCCTTTCCCGTACGTAAAATTCAAATGCGCTATGTGATTCAAGGCCCTCTCTGAACCGAAATCCCATTAATGCCCACCGCCAGTGGCGGGAAACATGTGACAACCCAAGGACGACCCTCCTTTTGCTGCTGCGGCTCGTGGAGCTCCGCGACAGCATCGCTTGGCCTAGTCACCAAGTTCGACTCGCCACCACGGCTCGTCGTCGGCGGCCTCTCGTCCTCTAAAATTCTAATACTTCGTTGCGGTACTGGCATGATTGGTTTTTTGGAGAGCAAAGGGAAAAGCGAACATGCATATCCAAGAGCTTATTGGCCGTTGACGCCGTTGGCAACGCCGTTGCTGGCGGGGCCCTTGACAGCCTTCTCGAGAGCCTGAAGCACATCGTTCTTGAGGTCCTCGGCCTCCTCGACGCCGCAGCTCAGGCGGACGAGGTCGTCGAACACGCCGACGGCCTCGCGCTGGTCGCGCGGGATGCCGGCGTGGGTCATGCTGCTGGGCAGCTCGACCAGCGACTCGACTCCGCCCAGACTCTCAGCCAAGGTGAAGATCTTGGTGAGCTGGCAGAAGCGCTCGGCAGCGGCATGGCCACCCTGGATGCGGAACGACAGCATGCCACCGCCCATGCCGTCGCGGTGCTGCTTCTTGGCGATGTGGCGGTGAGGGTGAGAGTCGAGGCCGGGGTAGTTGACGGCGATGACGTGGGGCGAGGCCTCGAGGGCGTGGCCGACCGTGGTCGCGTTGTGAGAGGCGGCGCGGGCGCGCAGGTGCAGCGTCTTGAGGCCGCGGTGGGCGAGCCAGGCGTCGAACGCCGAGGGGACGGCGCCAATGGCGTTCTGGAGGAAGCTCAGGCGGGCCTTGAGGTCGTCGCTGTTGAAGGCGGCGACGCCCATGACGACATCGCTGTGGCCATTGATGTACTTTGTGACGGAGTGGACGACGATGTCGGCGCCGAGGTCGAGAGGGTTCTGGACATAGGGGGAGAGGAAGGTGTTGTCGACGACAACAAGAATGCCGTGCTTGTGCGCCTCGGAGACAACGGCGCGGATGTCGACGAGTCGCAGGGTGGGGTTGGAGGGCGACTCAATCCAGATGAGGCGCGTCTGGTCGGTGATGTGCTCGCTGATGTCGACCTCGATCTCGGGGGTGAAGGTGACCTTGACGCCGTGGGCCTTGGCGACCTGGGTGAAGTAGCGGTGGGTGCCGCCGTAGACGTCGGAGACGGAGATGACGTGGCTGCCGGCCGCCAGGCTCTGGAGGATGTTCGCGGTGGTGGCGCTGCCGCTGGAGAAGGCGAGGGCGTAGCGGGCGTGCTCGAGGGCGGCGACGGCGTTTTCGAAGTTTGTGCGGTTGGGGTTGGAGGAGCGCGAGTACTCGTAGTCACCTACGGGCTTGCCGACGGCGGTCTGGGCGAAGGTGGTGGAGAGCGAGATGGGCTCGATGACGGCGCCGGTCGCGGGGTCGTGAGGTGAGCCGGCGTGGACGGCGAGGGTGCCGAAGCCGTGGACCGGGGTCGGCGGGCGCGGCGGGGTGCTGACGGGGTTGTCGGTGGCGATGGGCGGCGACATGCTGGGCAGATGTTGTTGCTGCTGTTGCTGCGACGGGACTGAGACGGGTATGGCGGTCGTCTGAGGGGGTTCAGACGGTCAAAGAAGAAGAAGGGAGCTGTGAGAGCTTCCTCGCTAGGGGCGGAAAGTGCGGCTGGGAGGAGGTGGTGGTGGTAGTGGTGGTGTCGGCTGCAGGTCCCCAGGCGAAAAGCAGATGGAGGGGTCGTCGATGGCGTCGATCAGCGGAACCGAGCGAGCGATGATCCGACCGGGGATGGTGGTTGCAGGAGAGGCGCAGAGTGGAATGGAGAGAGAAGAGAACAGAACAGAACAGGAGGGCGGACGGGACTAGAGGTGGATGGAGGGCAGCAGATGTATATATTTTCCCAAGAGGGGGGTTTTCCAGGATCAGGCAGGAGGAGGAGCAGACGGGACCTTCCTTGTCCTTGCGCGGGCGCGGTCGCCGGTGCGATGTGGAGATTGACGAAGGTCTGCTGAAGGGTCCCGCGATGCGCCTGAACAGCCGATGCCCACTTTAAAAAAAAAAAAGCTGAAGCTGCTGAGCGCCCGCTAACGAGTCAAACAAGAAGAGCCGGAGGGGGTCAGGTTCTCGTCACAATGGCGGGAAATGGTGTCATTCACAGAGTTTCAGAAGCGGTCGCTGCGTTGCTCGACTGGGCTTCGGGACGGCGCGCCGCTTGCGACGAGGCGACGAAGACGCACTGGGCAGGTATTATTATATCGGCTGTGCGACAACCCCGATGGGCCTCTCCCTCTCTGTCTCCCTTGACGCACGCCCCCCATCATTACCAATCCATCCCGATCTAATCCAACCAGCAGCTGCTGCGGCGCGCCCTCTTGTCCCTTGCGCGCCCGCCCGGATCCGAAGCGGGAAATGGTGGCGTCACAGACCTGAATGACGAGCAGTCCGACAGATCACAGACAGATGGACGAAACAGGGGACAATGGAGATGCATAGACACACGCAGAAGGGAATGTCGCCTGCGGACCGTGTGACAAAAGTGCGACCCCCCTCGGGCGACGCAGCGCGGACGCACACCGCCCTCTTGCAGCGGGCCGGCGAGGGCGAGACGGCGGGGAATCAATTAGGTCATCGCCTTCGACGCTGTTCTCGACGCCTTCCGTGCTGAGCAATCGTCGCGGCCGTCAGTGGGGTTGGTGGGTGGCCAGCGGGTGCCCGGCCGGCATGCAGCGCGATGCAGCGGCGGTGGGGACGCCCTGTGCCAGGCGAGACAGCCCAGCCCGCCGGCCTTTTGGCAGCCGCAGCACCTACGTACTACTGCCCGGAGCCCGTCAAACGCCCACCACTGTGGGTTTGACAGGCGGCCGGCGCGGGCGTCGGTCACGGATGGCGCCATTCCCCATTGAGCACATGGGCAATTGTCAACGGCGCATGCGGTCTGCCGCTTACAACATCGGCGTCATTCGCGCCCATGCGTCGTGCGGCTGGTCACGGAACACGTAGGTATTACGAGATGCCCGTATTCCATGCACCATCATCCCCGGACCCTGTCTCGTTGTCGTCTGAGATCAGTGCTGCAGTGCTATGGACACTTTACACTGTATCGTGTCCCAAGCAAGATACTGCGCTTCCGTGGAGCCCCTCCCAGGCCCGGCGGACGCAGAGGGGCATCTCGGCGGGCAGCGGCGGCTCATCAGGGCATTGAATCCACCACGACCACCTACTCGTAGGTATGTACCTACGACGGACCTGCAATTCAGTTGATCCTGGGGCACATCCTTGCACTGTAGCGTCACCTGGCGGGGCATTGTCACCGGTGTGCTGCCACCCACGCATCCACGCCCATCCACCGGAAATGTCCACCTACCACTCCCCCTGGCACTGTGCATGTCGCTCACCGAACCCCGCCCGCTGTGCCTCGGGAAAGCTGCGTCAAAGGTGCATGTCGGGAATGGCGGGCTCGGATATGGCCGTCGTCGGGAATCCAGGCAAGAACCCTGGGCCTTCCGTGCTTGCGTGCTCGGATGCTGCGCAGACGGAACGGGAGGGGTCCGCTGGATCGAGACTGTGCGACTGCGCACGAGCTGGCGACTCGAATCCTTTTTCAAGACTGTCGAGTGCGCATCTGCAGCTTGCAGCTGCGCGCGACACGGGAGAGCGTTGTGACGACCAACTCGCTCGGGCGTCGACATCGTTGCTGCCGGCAATGCTCGTGGCAGCAATGCAGCTCTCTCCCGCCCCTCCCGTGGTCTTCTCCGGGCTCTCAATTGGCAATGACACCTGGTGATGCGATGCAGCGGCAGCGCAGGACATTTTCGTCCATGGCAACCTCCTGAGCGGCGCTCAAGCGAGCGGCCGTCCGGTGCCATCGCCATGGAGCCTCATCGTCGACCACGCCGGGTTCCTGCTCCCCGTCGGCCCCAACCTCTTCCGCCTGCCGCCCGCGACATGCAGCTTTCGGACAAACCCAAGGCCCCGTGGGTTCCGTGGGCGGGCATGTGGGCAAGAAGGATTTACAGGTGTACCTTCCTCTTGGCTGTCTATTCCCAGGGAGTCGGCGACTGATCTCACCTAAACCACTGGCTGCTGTGGCGCCCATGAGCCCCTCGGACAGTGGACGACCCGTCAGCCGCGCTTCCTCCCCCCGCAGCGCCACACTGGCCGCGTCTACAGAGGCCCCTTGGAGGCCCTGAGGCGCTGCACAGCCCGCCAACCACAGCGTCGCCAATCGAAACCTTGGCCCCTGCTGCCCCAGATGTGGCAGTGCTTAATAACACTCGGACGCTCTCTGGCACCTGGAACCTGATCTTCAGGCTTCAAGCCAAAGGACGCCGACGCTTCCACCCGTTCCTCCTCCTCCACCGCCTCAAGGACCCCGTCACAGCATCAGACGCCAGCGCAACCGCGACTCAAGCGGCAACGTGCTCCATCATAGCAGCAGTCTCCGTCTCCGTCCTCTTCGCGCGCACCTCGCACCCGCAACTGCCGGCTCCAGCCCAGAGCTCAGTCCGTTCAACCCGCCTTTGCCGCCGCCGCTTACAAGTCTCGAGCCCACCGCGCCTCGTATTCGTAAAAAGCGCCGATTCGTGGGGACCCTGGGCAGCCTCAGCGGCCATGCCTCGAGGTTGCGCAACAGCCAGCCTCATCCATCGCTGTGAACTCGCACATCCTCAGTCGCCGCGCGCCCGGCCGTGATGCCGCCCCGACGCTCGCACAAAAAGTCTCGCGCCGGGTGTCGCAGGTGCAAGCATCGCAAGATCAAGGTGAGGCTTTCCAGGCGGAGCTGGCCCGCGCGTGCGGAGGTCCATTCTTGACATGTGACGAGACTTCACGGACGCTGGATGTGCCCGTCACTCATCCCTTTTTTCAAGCCGTGACAGCGCTGACGACCCGACGCAGTGCGATGAAGTGCACCCGCGATGCGGCAACTGCGTCAAGCACGGCGTGCCGTGCGACTTTGAGAGTCGCGCGCCGCTCGACGACCTGGCCGCCCTCACCCCGGGTGCCGACGACAAGTCTGCCATGTCGCCCTCGTCCACGTCCGCGACGCCTGCCGCTGCGCCCAAGCCGCTGTCGCCGCAGCAGTCTCCCAATGCCGTCCCCGCCACGCCCGCGATACCCCAAGCAGACGTCGCTGTCGTATCGCCATCCCCCCGGCATATCGACAGGTTCCTCGAGCTCCGGCTGCTGCATCACTTCACCACCAGCACCGCGAGCACCCTCTTCACTACCCAGCAGCCCACCAACGAAGATGTTTGGCAACGTGCTGTCCCTCAGATAGCTTTCCAGGGAAAGGATTACCTTATGGACGCTGTCCTCTCCGTCGCCGCCTTGCACCTTCGGACCCAACACCCCAACGACAAGGCTCTCATCCGGGCTTCGCATGCCTACGCCGCATCCACCCTCGCAGAGTACTGCGCGTCGCTCGAGCGCGGCATCACGGCGGACAACGCAGAGGCGCTCTTCCTCACGGCCACCCTCATCGCCTTCCAATCCACCGCCTCTCGGATATTCGCCAAAGACGATGGCGATGCGGACGCGGCAGAGCCGAACAACCGATACACGCTGCCAATGCCTTGGTTCCATGCATTTCAAGGCGTAAAAACGATTGTTGCATCGTCTTGGCAGTGGATCAGGAACAGCGAGGTCGTCAAGGCGGTCATCGACTCCCAGCCCAGCTTCCAGCTGGACCTAAACCCTCGCGGACCAAAATCTTTCTTTGGCCATCTTCTAGATGGGCTAGACGACGAGCTTGCTACGGAGAATCGATTTCAAATTACCGCAACTAGCCAAGCCTACTCGCACGCCGTTAGCGTCCTCAATTGGGCGCACAAGAACAAGTATGCGCCGGCAACGCTCGCCTTCCCGGCCAGCGTCTCACGGCGCTTCGTCGAGCTCGTCGAGGAGAAGCGGCCACGCGCCCTTGCGATTCTGGCCTGCTTCTTTGCGCTCCTCAAGCGCATGGATAACGTGTGGTGGCTCGGCGACGTCGCGCGCAGAGAAGTCATGGGTCTCGTCAGCTTGTTCGAGTCGGGCTCGTCGTGGTGGCGGCACCTCGAATGGCCTGTACGGATTGCCCACTGGGAGGGTAGCACCATCCCGCCCGACGTGTGGGGAGCCGAATGCGAGGAGCAGCCTCAAGCAGACAAGGGATTCGTCGAGACCATGATGAGCCACATTGAGCTGCTGACCAAGATGACGAACCCGGTGGCCGCCCAGACGAGCCCCACGATGTCTGTCGCGGGGGACTTTGGCCTTACCGCGGCACCTCTCGATTGAGTTCTGCGTTGGGCTGCGACGGCCATCAACCATCACGCCGTGGTGAGCCATCATCATTGTTTTGGGATATTTGTGAGTGGCGTTGTCGGCTACATCTGTATTGAATTGGGACCTTAGCGATAGGCGCCGGGAAATGGTACAACCGCGATGGATTGACTACAACGTGGAGATACAGCGAAATTATGATACTGCTTGAAGACAGATGGTCGGGCGTCCGGGTACTGGATGATGTATTTGGAACGCCGTGGGCAGAGGGATCGCATTGGAGGAATGGGTGAATCCTCAAAGTCTACTGGACCATTTCGGGAACAATCACCCAAGCCCGATGTGGGACAGGTAGCACGCGGAACTTGAGAGCTGGGTGGTGCCGGAAGCAATGAGCTCGAGAATACATCTTTTTAAACTCCCTCAGATGCAGATGACATATGGACGTGATATTGGCCCCCCAGAAGCGCCGCAACTCCGAATCCCAAGCAAGTGAAACCCCACACTCCCGTCTCAGTGCTTGGTCCTCTTGGCATCCTCCTCGACGATGTCCTCGCGGGGCTCGTCGTCGCCTCTTGACCGCTTCAGGCCCTTCATCTTGCGGAGCTGGAGCTGGCTCAGGTCCTGGCGGCCCAGGTGGACGCGGCCGATCTTGTCGCCCATGGAGTCGGTGGTGATGTTCTTCTTGGTCTTCTCCTCGGTGCCGCGGGCCTTGCGCATGGCCTCCTTGAGCATCGACTCGTCGGCCTCCTGGACGCGGCCGACGCGCAGGTCCATGCGCGGGCCAATCTCCTCGACCTCGACGCGGGGGAGCTTCTGGCCGCTGCGCTTGGTGCGGATGAGGTAGACGCGCAGGTGGATGGCGGGCTTGGCGTCGTCGCCGCCGCTGACGGCGTCCTCGGCCGTGACGGAGACGATGTACTGCAGGCCCTCGACGTCGATCTTGTCCGAGGGCTCGCCCTTGAAGAAGTCGAGCAGCATGCTCTTGGCGAGGGTATACTCGTTGGAGACGGGGCTCTCGAACGCGGAGCCCGCGAAGAGCAGCATGGGCCGCAGCCCGACGGCGAACTTTTTATTCTTGAACTGCGCCATGGAGCGGAACGACTCCGGGTCGAGGTACGTCTCGAGCATGTCGAGGACCTTGTGGCCGAAAGTACGGACGAACGTGATGGCGTGGGGCCGCTTCTTCTGCGTGCTGCCAAAGACGAGCAGGCTGGCGTCGTTCTTCTCGGAGAAGAACTCGAGCGACGAGGCGTCCTCGAAGGGGTGGATGGGGTTCTTCTTGGTGAACTTTTTCGCGAGCGGCAGGCGCAGCGAGTGCAGGTCGTTGAGCGCGTCCTGGACGACCTGCGAGCACGACGTGCCGCGCAGGAAGAGGCACGTCTTGGGGTTCTCGATGGCCTTGGGCTCGCGCTTCTCGAGCGCCCGCTTGGAGCGGGCGTTGCGAGGTTTTCTGCGAACATGTCAGTCAGCCTGGCGGCCGAATGGGGGGGCAGTCAAGGGCGCCTACACTTGGCGAAGCATTGTGATGTGCGGCGGAGCCTTTGCGTTGCGATGGGCGAAAGCTCTCTCGTCTGTCTTGCGTCGAGACGTCGGATTTCGACGCAGTGGAAAAAAATGAGGAACCGCTCGCTCCTGCGCCGCTATCGATAAGGTGCAGCGTTGTTGCTTGGAGCAGCGTAGTGGCTAGTGTGGCGGGAGTGAGTGTGGCTGGCGCGGCGTGGCTGACAGCGGGACCCTGGCCAGATCCTTCGACACGGACTTCGATGAGTCTCGTCTCATCTCGGTCAACGGCGACACCCCGCAGTCACGTGGGCGTGCCTCGGGGCGGAGCAATCCCCTTCGCTGGGGAAGGTTGGGCCGGGGGCCGGCGTCGTCTCTCAGGCGGGTGAAGCGCTGCACTCTGCGCCCTGCCCGCTGCGCCAACCCACTGTCAGCCAGTCACTCAGTCAGGAGCGGCCGCGGAGCCTGCCTCGGTACTTTTCCCCCCGCAGAAACCGCCCAGACCGAGCCGCCGCCGTCGCCGCCGCCACCAGAACCAACGCCGACGCCTCGGGTGACGTCCTGCGTCCTTACAAACCACATTTCTCCAAAACCGCACTCCGGCACGCAGTCGGGCAGCAGTCGACGACATTTTACCCGCTCCATCCCTTCCCGTTCTTCTCCTCCATCCGTCCATCTCCCATTTCCGACCCCGCCGCGGACGGCCCCGACCATCGCTTCCCTGCTCTCCTTTCGCTTGCGTTCGACTTTCCCCCCCAAAGATCCAGGGACGTCACGCCCCTGCGCCCGAGACTAGACATGTCGTTCATGGGAGGGGCGGAATGCTCCACGGCCGGCAACCCGTTGAGCCAGTTCCAGAAGCACGTCCAGGATGACAAGACGCTGCAGCGCGACCGCCTCGTCGGCAGAGGGCCCGGCGGCCAGCTCAACGGCTTCCGCAGCCATCAGGCCAATGCTCCCCAAGATGAGGTCCGTCTGTCCCGCATCTCGACCGGCTTCCTTCCCGAAGTGCCTTTGCTGACCCCGCTGCCGCAGATGATGAACGGCTTCCTCAACGGCGCCCCGAGTTTACAGCAGGACTTCCCCATGCAAGCCGGCCCTGCTCCGCTTACCCCAGCCCAGCATGCGCCCATGCGTGCGAGCTCGGCGTCCCCGTCGTGGGCGCACGATTTCAACAACCAGCCCGGGATGGAGTCGGCGTTCAAGCCGCCACCCGGCGCTCACTTCAGTGCCGACGAGTTCGCCCGCTTCAGCCAGCTCAACGGCCAGGCTTCGTCGGCCAGGTCCAGCCCCATGCAGAGCAACATGAGCAACATGCCCGGCCAAATGTCCCAGCGTCCCATGATGGGCGTGGGAATGATGAACCGCGGCATGGGCTACGGCCAGGGCATGTTCCAGCCCATGTACCAGAACCACCAGCCCCTGCAGCAGCAGCAGCAGCCGGAAGGCAAGGGCAAGGGCAAGCTGGTCGAACTCGACGACAGCAAGTGGGAGGAGCAGTTCGCCCAGCTCGAGCTGCAAGATCAAGAAGCTGCCGAGAAGCTCAAGGAGCAGGAAGAGGCCAACGCCGCCGAGCGCGAGCTCGACGAGATGGACAAGGCCATGCAGTCGGAAACCAATGAGTTCGGTGACTTCGAATCTATCTGGAAGGGAATTCAGGCTGAGACTGCTGCTGCCAGGTCCATGGTCAACGAAGACCAACTTTTCGACCAGTTCGACAACGACTGGGACACCAGCGCCATGCCCGACTTCCAAGGCCTGGGAGACTGGGGTCGATTCGGCGACCCCGTCGTCGAGAAGTACATGTTTGAAGAGGAGAACATCTTCCGCAACGAGAAGAACGCCTTCGAAGAGGGCGTGCGGGTCATGAAGGAGGGAGGAAACCTGTCTCTGGCGGCGCTTGCCTTCGAGGCTGCCGTGCAGCAGCATCCCGACCACGTTGAGGCTTGGGTATACCTCGGGCAGGCTCAGGCCCAAAACGAAAAGGAGACGGCAGCCATCCGGGCCATGGAGCAGGCGCTCAAGCACGACCCTAACAACCTCGACGCTCTCATGGGCCTAGCGGTATCCTACACCAACGAGGGCTACGACAGCACGGCGTACCGGACGCTGGAGAGGTGGTTGTCGGTCAAGTACTCCAACATCCTGGACCCCAAGGACCTCTCACCCGCCTCCGACCTGGGCTTCACAGACCGGCAGCTTCTGCACGACAAGGTGACTGATCTGTTCATCAAAGCAGCGCAGCTGAGTCCAGACGGCGAACACATGGACCCCGACGTCCAAGTGGGCCTCGGTGTGCTCTTCTATGGCGCGGAGGAGTACGACAAGGCCGTCGACTGCTTCCAGTCGGCGCTGCACTCGTCAGAGCTGGGTACCTCGAACCAGCAGGAGCAGGTCCACCTCCTCTGGAACAGGCTCGGCGCCACGCTCGCCAACAGCGGCCGCTCCGAGGAGGCCATCGCGGCTTACGAGCAGGCGCTCTCGCTGTCGCCCAACTTTGTGCGCGCGCGCTACAACCTGGGCGTCAGCTGCATCAACATCAACTGCCACCAGGAGGCGGCGTGCCACTTCCTGGCTGCCCTCGAGATGCACAAGTCGATCGAGAAGTCTGGCCGCACCAAGGCCTACGAGATCCTGGGCGACGGCGCCGCGCCGCAGGTGGACGAGGCGCTTGACCGCATGTCGGCCCAGAACCGGAGCAGCACGCTGTACGACACCCTGCGGCGCGTCTTCACGCAGATGGGCCGCCGGGACCTGGCCGAGAAGACGGTGGCCGGCGTCGACCCGGACGTCTTCCGCCCAGAGTTTGATTTCTAGACGGGGCTGGCATTGGACGGCTGGCCTATTCGGTTTCTTGCACGCATGGAACGCGGGCAGCTACGTCTTTGGAAGGGACATATTACTGAGTGACGAAGATGAAGATATAGCGTGGAGGGCAGAAGGCTAGGGGGAACAGGCATATGTTGGATAGGTACCTATCTTGGGAGGTGGTCCACAACCGACTGCCTCACCCGCGCGGTCTGTACAAAACGGACTAATGTACGAGGGCAACGTCTTGCAAGCAGCTCGACACGACGAGGGCGCTGCCGCTCACGAACAAATGGAAATGATGCATATACAGATTTGTCGTGCTCGCTGTCCTGCCGCCTAGGACTCTGGTGTCGTGCCCTACCACGTCGACCAGCGATTTTGTATCCCGTAATGCCGTAACTGCGGATCGTGTGTGCATATGGGCGTGCTCGTCTATTGGACTAGACGTTCGTTTCCTCCGGACCTGTCCTCCGGGCCTCGACCCGAGTGTGCATGTATGTATGTACACACATTGACGGCGGCGGCAAACGATAGCCTACTTTCCTGAGCTGTACCCGTACAGCACGTGCTCTCTCGCATTGCCTGCCGCCACGCTCCCTCTTCCTCTCACAAGGCAAGGCAAGGCAAGGCAAGGCAAGGCAAGGCAAGGCAAGGGCACGAACGATGCTTTTTGTCAAAAACCTCTTGGCTAAACATAGCAGTCCCAGGTATATTGCCTCGCTATGTACGCCTCTTCCCCGCCTCCTTCGCGCCATTTGTTCAGGGGGGCCTCGAACCTCGACCTCTACTGAACGCCCACAGGTCGTGGATGCTTACCTGGGGAGAGATTCTGAATGGCGAGGCGCAGGGCGGTGCATCCGAGCAGGGAGGCACGAGACGACAAGACCAGACGCCGCGGGAACGAGCGAGGGGCGCCATCACTCAATCAATCAATCAGTCAATCAATCAATCATCGCATGCACATGCTACTACGTACGTACGTCCTGTCGGGCTTGCACAAGCGCCGAGTACGTGTTCCCCTGCTGCCATCATCCAAGGGCCATTCTTCCGTGCCCTCCCCCCCCCGGTGCCGCACCACTAGCATCGCGGCGTTTTTCGATATTGTTGAGAAAAACAATAATACTGTACGAGTACTGTACAGTGCATGTGAGAAAAAGCACCGAGGACACACACGTGTGCATGTACAAGGGGCAGTTTCTCGCGCGCCCAGGGCCTCGACAAGCGCCCGGAAAAGCAACCACGGGGACGAGAGGGGGGAGGGGGAAGCGCCGCGCATGATAACGCCGGGGCAGGCAGGCAATAGCGTGAGAGCGTGTGGTGGCCCGGTGTGCGTTTCAGCGGCTGACCGGGCATGGAGGCGTCCCCAGGAGACGGAAAAAGAAAGACAAGGGCAGGAAAGGGCGCGTGGATGAAGGTCGGTTTGGGAATCTGCGGACAAATGCTCCTCGCATGGCAGTCTGGCCCGGCGCGAACCTGATTGAGGCGGCAGGGCAAACTGCCTGCGGCGCATGGCTGGCGCTGAACAGCGTCAGACGGGCGACGCCGTGACCTGCATGCACGCAGGCTGGTGCTGACACGCAGGTACTGTGTGTTGCACGCACGTTGTCGGGTTACGGCCAGGCAAGCAAGCAAGCAACGGCCACAAGGGCCATAACTACGGGACGAACGCCAAGATGGCCAAGATGGCACCGAGCGCATGGGCCGTCCAACACTCCCGGTCATCGTCGTCATCGTCGACATCGTCGACATGTGTGCGGCTTTCGCGGCCAGAACGTGCACGATTGAGTATACATGGTACTGTCCCGTCCAGAATTTTACCTGGCAGACAGTCCGCACAGCACGCGATACAGTACCACCAACGGGACGGCGGCCAAGCCCGGACGCCAGGAGTCAACAGCCGTCCTCTCTGAATCGGTTGGTGGCGCTCAACATCGTTCCGGGCAAAACGACCAAGGCAGAGTGGACCTGAAGACAGCCTCGACCCGTCCGTTGGTTAGTATATGCCGACGGGAGCCAACATCGACATGCTGCAAGTGGCTCGGCCGCGTGCTGGGTGGTAGGTAGGACACAGCACGACACGGGCCCCCGTGCCATGGTGCTGGAATCCGCGTGACGCTGAATCCGTCGTTGGGGGCCGTCCGCCACGAGACTGAGACACCTGAGGAACCTAGAGTCAATGACTTAACGACAGAAGCATCATCAGCCAAGCGGCACAGCTTCCGCCACCTGCCCTGTCCCCGGAGCATTTCCCGCAGAGTGTTTGGTGTCACAAGTCATGTCGGTGCTCCAGTAGCACAGATCTCGAGTCGGCTTGGTCTCACCTTCGGCCCCGCGCCGTATTGTCCAGACTCTGAGCCACCGGGCGGGTACGGGTACGTCCCAGTACTTCGTGTCCAGGTCTCCTCTGGTCCATGCTCCGGCACACCCAACAAGTGGTGCTGGCGCCACCCCACCAGCGGCGGCTGCAATGTCCAGGCCCTCACGGCTCGTTCTGCGCTTGTTGGAACGCAGTCGCAGGCAGGCACTGGACTCCACGTCCCATCTCTCTGGGGCCCGCGTGGCTCCGTTGTGCCCACGACGCTCCTACAGCGTGCTGCTGCTGTTACGAGACGTGAGGCGGCATTGTCTCATGTAACTGATGGAAGCCAGGCAAGCGACGGTGAGCGCAGTAACCTTTTCACGCATCAACATGGCTCTCCAGGTGTTCCTCTGTGGTCTTACTTGCCCACACCCTTGCGTTCAAGTCGGCGGCTCACAAGCATCGACAGTGGGGTGCCGCTGCTTGGCACATGGTGAGACATCGATCGCCCTAGATCCGATCGCCTGGCCGTGTCTGTGATGGGGTCAGCCAGCCCGACCAGGAACACAGACAGTGACGGCAGAGTCCGGATTTGCAGAGCGGTGCGCTATATTATGTACTGGCATCGTCATTGCTCCTGCTTGTCTCAGGCACGTTGAAGAGAGCATCAAGCGTTCGATGGTCTCGACGCTGCGGCTCCAGCAGACTGGCCGATCGTCGGGGCTGTTCGTGAGGCGGGTAGGATCGTTCCCGCGACCCTCATGGGTAGATACTTCACCGGCAGTGGCGCACACACTGCTTCATGACTTTTCTTCGAGACCTTCTGCGACGTGGATGCGTGGGTCGCTACAGTGCAATATCAGTCAGCGCGGCTTCTCCAGTTCCGTGCTGTAGTTCCAGTGGGGTGGTTGCCATACCACGCGATGGTCGAATAAGGTCGCCGCGACGCGCCTGTTGCGCTCTTCGCACACTCCTGACGTGAAATGTGGTACCGGGCTGGGGTGCAAAAGTGGTTGCCTGGAGCATGGCGCTGGCTGGCGCAAACCTTATGAGCAGGCCACCGGAAAGCCACAACGGGCCAGGCCAGCGTGTTCCGCCGGCTCTTCATGTGTCAAAAGACCGTTGCGCTTGGCTCGTCAGTGCTCGGGGCGACGCTGGAACTCTGATGCGGCTGCAAAGATGCCATGCGTCTGTCCAGCCCGAAGAGACATTTCGGCAACATCCGTGGCGCGCTAGTTGGTGAGAGACAGCGAACACAGCGGAATGATGGAGACGAAGTTCAGGTTGAGACCACATGCCAGCCAGGCACTAGTCTCAGTCATCCTGCCGTGGCGGAACCTCACACGCTGTGTGGCCGACACGGCGAGGAAAGAGACAACAAGTGACAAATAGTCGAGGTTCGTCTTGTCTGAGGCAAAACGGACGGGGGGGCCGGGCCAGGCGGTTTGGTGGTCCTCACCCACGCAGGTCGCCGACCTGGTGAGCTCGGCAGACGTGGCACCCAGCCCTTCAGGTCGGTACAGCACGGGCCTCCTCTTGCTCATGGCACGTCAGCCCGTACCGCGTCTGGGCGCTGTTGCGACCGTTGCAACAACTGCCTGGCCCCTCCACTGTTGCTTGGACCTGTCCCAAGATGTCCGTATGTACTCTGCTCTGCACGGAGAACCGTGGTGACCATTGCCATCACACATGGCGCGGTAACGCGCCGACTTGTCCTGCTGGGAGGATCACTGAGTTTCTAGTCGCATACTTTATGCATTGTCGTTCGCATGGCATTCATGCTGGACGCCGCATCATGCCGCTGCTCCGTCTTGGGTCGCAGGCGCAAGGATTCGTGTACGTCGTCGGGTCTGTGGTTCACTGCGAGGAAGCCAAAGCCGTAAGCAGGTACCGAAGCGCGGGGACCTGACATTTTTGGGCGCTCTTCGGCGATGGGTGCTGCGGGTCGCAATCCCAACCGCAAGGGGCAGTCGGGGACGGGCGCGGGCGCGTGGAATCGCGGCCCGCAGGGGACGTCTGTCCCAGGACTCTGGGTCGGTTGGGACCACGAGGCCTGTGCCGATATTGTCTGCGTTGGTGAATAGACAGCCAGTTGAGCCATCGGGCTCTCCCAACAAGAGGGACCCTGCGTCTGTCGTTTGTGACGAACGCATCGTGGCCCGTGTTCACTTCCGTGCTCGCACAGACGAATAATCTTGGCCATGGGGTCGACCATCGTGGGTCCTTGGTGGGAAGGCTTCCCTTACACCTTCGGACCTTTATTGCACCGTGGATCTGCCGTGGCGGCTGTTGGTCGACAGGCCTCAATGCGTTGTCGCTGATCTTTGGATCCATTGCGTCGGGACGCTGGGAATGACCCCGACAGCAGGATCGGGTGTTGGGTCGCTTCCTGTGCAAAACAGCAGTGAAAGGGTTGTGCATACGGCCAGACACGGTACGAGTCCATGGTGAAGTCCGCACTCCTTACAGCGCTTATGACAGTTGACAAAGCCAGGGATATTCAAACCCAAGACATGGCGAGAAGACGGCTTCGTTGTCACATCTCAAGTGACACTCGGTCGTAGGACTGTACTTCGTGTTCGATGCTGCTGCCAATCGTTCCCTTCATTGGGTCTCAAGCCCGGCAAATGCAGTGAGTGAACTGTCAGGACCCGCCGACACGCAAAGTAGTGCGTGCGAGCGTTCGTACGTACATGATACGTACGAAGTACAACCAAGCGCCAGAGGAGCATTGGCCATCTGTGCCAGGAACCGGTTGGAAAGCAGATGGGCCAGCCTGTTTGCCCAGCATCCTGGGCCTGGCACGCCAACATCGGAGGATGAGCAAGTGCCTTGTTCTGCCCGACGGCGACGGCCAATTGGATCCTCTGCGATCACCTATCCACTACTTCGCAAGTTTTGCCGCGTCTTGGCGAGTAAGTGGTGATGTGATGACGGGAAAAAGCAACGCCTGGCCCTGTGGTGTGCAACCGCGGCGGAAGAAGCAAGCTGGGCCCGCAAAGCAACGTGGCAGGCCAGTCAGGTGTTTCAGTTGCACACTCGGCAACGCCTGATGATGATGCTGCTGCTCTGGCGGCTCTTGCTGACGGATGGCCGTGGCGACACATTGCTTTTTCCATCGCATGGAGTTGCATTTTGCGTTGCCGCCTTCTTAGTCGCTGCGCTGTTGCCGGAGCTGGCGGGGGGCGGAGGCAGAGAGCAAATATCCGGTCGATCGCTGTGGGAAGCACATCGCCGACGCCAGACACGTCTCCCCAGGCTTCCCAAAGCGCAGCCAGGGCCCAGGAGGAGGGTCGGGTAATGTGGTGACTGAATATCATCACCTACCAGGTGCCCGGTAGGCATGTTCGATACGATATCACGTTTGTATTAGAGTTGTCAGGTTGACCGTTGGTCGCGGTTGCCGTACCTAGACCCAGCACCGTGGTAGGTCGGCCGCGCCTGCCACTCTCACTCTCGCTTGCACGCAGCCCTAGGTACAGTATCCCAGGACAATCGAGCCTCGGAATGAAGTACAGAGGTACTTAGTGCTGGCCTTCAGAGCACAGGCATCTGGCGCATATACGCCTGGCCCGCGGTATAGTAACTCTCAGATGCCCATCGAGGAAGGAACTGGCCGAGGGACCTGCCCGCATCCTCTCCTCCTCGCGCTGAGCACATACGAGTTCACCTGCCTGGCATTGGCAAGGGGAAGGTCCCCATCGGCCCGTACCTGCAGTCGCTGGATGCTTCAGTTAGGGGCGTAACTTTGTGAGACTGGCTTGCTCGGTTTAGGTACTGACGAGGAGTTGCGTCGCTGTCGCAGTGGTGAGGTAGTCACGGCCCGCTGCTGCACTGAGCTCGCCTTCAAGGCCGAGGAATTCAGGATGAATCCTCGGGCTCCCTGTGCTTCGAGCGGTCTTGGGCCAGGTGTGGGCACCGTCACAACTTGTGCAAGGTTCTGCTGCCACCACGTTTTTCTTCTTCCACGAAAGATGGGGCACCTCGCATGCGTCTGTTCTCCCTCCCTTCGCGCGCTCTCTTGAAGCCTGCATTTTGCCCCCGCGGCTCGATGACGAGGTGGTTGGCATTCGTGTGTGCGGCACGACACGAGCACAGTAAGCCGCCAGGGTCTGCAGCCGCAGCCGCCGCGGCCGCCGCCGTTGAGGCGTATCGCCGAAGGGCGCTTACACTATTGACGCCGTCTCAGGCTTTGCTCTGATCGGATCCCTGCCGGGCGACGCAACCGCGAAGCCCGAAGTGTCCTCGCTTCATGTTGCACGACGCGCCATTTATGCAGCCCCCGAGGTACTGCGGCCTGCCTGTGCTTGGACTCCACGGAGGCGGCATCGATGTCGACAACCCACGCCGGGTGCAGCGCTCGAATATCAAGAAACATTGTCATGGCCGCCTGGGCCGACGCTAGGTGTGTGCATGCAGTACAGTACAGACTCGCATGGTCAAGAACCGCACGTACGAAGCACACGTGCTCACACCTAAAGCGTGCCCAGGGCGGGTCCTGTAAACCCTGCGAAGGAGGCAGCGGACTGTGCGCCAGTTGCCGCGCCGTGTTGATTGCAGCCACTTCTAGCCCACACGGCCAGCAACTTCGCGGTTTGGGACTTCAGAAGCTCCCGACGGGCCACGCATCCGCGGCCACAGCCGCCGACAGGAGCGCCAGGGCCATCCGTGGGAGCACCCTCGAGAATTCCACCGCGACGTTGCCCATGAACGCCCGGTCGCTGTCTGTTCGTTGTCATACACTATGACGTCGAGACGAGAAGTCGCAGGGAGCCGGCCATGTCCATGCCAGCCACCTGCGTCGTTTTGAACACACTCGTTCTTATGCGAATCATCGTCGTGGTCTCACCAGCCCCAGCATCCGTCAATCGACGGATGACGACTTTGTGCGACTCGGCCAATGCCGCTAAACAGCACTGGAGTCGGCTGCGGAGACCAACTTCACGTGGCTCGGGGCGGTGCGATCGCACATGCAGACATCCCGGACGCTGTTGGGTGGCAGTCCCCAGCCTCAAGCACGCAGAAGCCCAAACCAACTGTCGCGCCAATGGCCGTGGCCTGGGAGCGGCACGAGGGCCCCCGGTTCACTCAGCAAGCCACAGTCCCCCCATCATCACCCCTGCACCTCCCGCCCCCTGAGCATGGGCCTGGCTGAAAGGCCCCCGAGAACGCCCCAGCGCCGGCTGGCCTGAAGATCGTTGGGTGTCATCACAAAAGTTCTCGCAGGTTGTGTGGAATTGCTCGGTCACGATTCACCAGTCTGTTCGACCACGTCGAGCAAGGCACATTGGCACCTCACGAAAACGGGAGGAAGGCCGACTCCTGAGCTACGTAGCAAGCGCCACAATACAATCCTCTTGCGATGCCCGACTTGCCGACCCCGGACAGCTGGCGACATGCGCTGCGACTTCTCGGATCTCCGAGAGCTGACAGGGCCGTTACGTTTCCCCGATCCGACTGAACAAGCAAGCAGGCATCACATCACCCAGGGGTCGATGCATGTGGCCCACGAAATGGATGAGGTCTTTTCACTGACAGGCACTCGCTGCCGATCTCCTTACTTCTGACTCGTCGAGGCTATTTGATATCCGAGAAACCGGGTGATGGCCCACCCTCCTCCCGTTCTTGTCGGCGCGCGATGACCTGGGAACTATCAACTTGCGGTAGGTGACGTTTACAGGTGACCGATGTGAACCTCTGACGGAGAAAATCCAGGCCGGAACGACGTGTCCCGGCGGCAAGAACGTGTCGGGCGGCATGCCGCAACGGTGTGTCGTGCAGCCTGGACTCAAGACGAATAAATAACACGTCTGTACTGCACGCTTGCGCCTGTTCAAACACACAGGCGGTACTCCGTCCGTACTCGCAGTGGCCTCCCATCTCCTGGAAACCCCCGTGAACGCTCGGAGCCTATGTGGGGACGGAGAGATGCGGACGGTCTGCAGGTCCATCATACATAAGCGTGGCTGCCGCGATGCACGACGATCGCGCAAGCTGCCCTGCCCTCTGTCTGTCTGATCTGTCTGACGCGACCCGATCTCCAACCAAGGCGAAGGGGTCGGGGCAAGCGCGGCAGCCTGATGGTTGATGACAACAGGGCGAGCCCCTTCACTGTTCTCCCACTGCGACATGGCCAAGGTCAACCCGGAGAGGCTGTTTGCTGCCGCAGGGCGAGCCGGGATGCTGGCCCAAGGGTTGGGGACGGACCGGGGCAGGGATGGGCACGGCGCAGGGAGGAGGGTGCCGTGTGTCTGTCTCCTCCCGTGGTCGCTGTCGCACCCTCCCACCATTTTGCTCTGCCACGGCTTGGCGACAAACGTGTTCTGCGCGGGCAGTGCGTGCAGAGATGCGATGGCGCTAGTGCCGAGACGAAGCCAACCCCTCGCCTTCTCCGCCGTTCCACTTGTGTGTTTAACCGTTTCCGGGGCGCGGCAGCGCATGGCAGCACGGCGTATCTCGCGTCAAGGTCCGATGGGCGACTTTTTATTTTGGGTCTGTCCCCAGGAGTCGCATCGAATCGCTTGCCTGCTTGTCAAGAAGCGCCTCGCGCGTCTCGTCGGTCACCAGAAGCAACGCGACGGTCCAGCTTTCGCCGAGTGCGCTCGCCGACTTTGACTCTTGCGGCCGCAGCCAGCCAAGGCCAGCATCGCCCTCTCCAACAGTCTTCTCGAGGTCCGAGTCTGCGTGCTTGTCCATCTGCGGTCAGAGCATCGGGGCAGCGTTCAGCGTCAAGACAATGCTGATCTCGCTGGGGCCGAGGACGATTGGCGAGCTGGCAAGACTGCTCCAATCTCGGAAAGGCTCCGAGCATATTGGGTTGCTGGAATTGCCCTGTCACTGGCCGAGATGGCGGCGGCACATGTCGAACTGCATAGGCGGCCAAGTACCGCACATCCAGACAGGCACGCGTGCAAGTACTCGTACAAAACAGCACTGGACGCGGGCAGCCAGGAACCGAGTACATGGAACAGAGACACATGGCCCAGGGTGGACCGACCATGGTGAGGTACCTCAGGTACCCCGACCTCGTACATTTGACTTTGACACCCGTCGACTTCTGTCCCCAAACTCACGGGCGGCGAGAGTCGACCTCGCCTGGAGCCTGCCTGGCTGTGACGGAGAGAGCGGCCCTGGTGGCACATGGCCGGCTTGTTGCAAGCGAGCAGCACAAAGTCCCGTTGACGCCATCAGCACGGGAGGGCAGCGGCGGACCCCCCCAAAAGGACGGCCAGCGTCACGACAAGCACGCGCTCGGTGTCTGGGGCCCATGTCTGGCGGCTGCCGGAAGCGGGTCGGTCTCGGGAGCACCGCGGCCAAGCCCAGCCAGAAGCTTGTCGGCCACCCCCCCTGTCGCAGGCCCGCTCTCTGGCGCTGCTGTGCCTCGTGGTTTCGGTTCGCTGTCGCCTTTTGGTCGCGCTGATGGTCGTCCCGTCAGGCAGTCGGGCAGAGGGTGAGGATGGATGACAAGGATGACCGTGGATGGAAGGGTGGACGGATGGATGGACGGGGCCATGGACGGACGGGGATGAACGGCCGGATGGCTGGCTGGACGGACGGAGGATCGGAGCCCTTCCATGGACCCAGCAGGCGAAGATTCCCGTACCCGCCGGCGTTGGCAGGTGCTTGTTGGCACTGGCAGGCCACGAGGATTCGACGTGCCTTGGGTGAGGCATGTGGAGGACACAGTCCCCGTGGCCGACCATGCGAGCCATGCGAGCCATGCTGCTGTTGCCCCAGGATCACACGAGCTCTGCTGCGCCCGACAGCCGGCTGTTGTGCCACGCTGAGACGAATGCTGGCCACGGTGCCAACGTGCTCGAGCTGGCGTCTGGCACGAATGCTTGCTTTGCTGGTCGGGACGCGCTGGAGCGACCGTGGCGGACACGAGCATACCGCACCGCAGAGTCGCCTCGCAGGACTCGGCACTGGACGCCGTCCGCGCGTCCGCCCTTCCCAGCAGGCCCCCTCAACCTCCAGGGCACTCGACTGCGCCCTCTGGGCTGGGTCTGCGCCGGGGCTCTCGCCATCGCCGGTCCAGCAGCAGCAGCGGCAGCAGAACAAGAATCAGCAACAGCGACTGAGGACCAGCAGGACCAGCAGCGCTGGCGCCTCCGTGGCGGCAGTCCAAAGGTCCCGTCCCTCTCTCTCCAGGCTCAGCGGTCGCAGGCGCCCCAGTGGCTCCAACCTCGCATCCTCCCTGCCAAGTCCGCCCGGCCCACGGGCCCACGACCTCAATGGGTTGGATGGCTGGCTCGCTGCGTGGTCCATCCGACGCCCCGTGGCATGGCGTGGCGCGGCGTGGCATGGGCGGCATGGAGGGCACGCCTGGGTGGCACCCATCCATGAGGTGGCAGTGGATGGCAAGTCACCCTCACACGCCTGCCATGAGGCGCCCCCAAGGCCCGGGGCCACGTTCCCTGACGCCCCCATGCCCACCATCCGATGCCTGGCCGCCCACCACCACGAGCCCGGTACCACCCCCCGAAGTCTGTCGGTGTTAGGCCTAGCGCGAACTGGATGCGGCCGCATGGGGGCGCTTCCGTGCTTGGGTCGCTCGTGGCTAGCGGCGGATCCCAGCTGCTGAGCGCGTGGGCGAGTGGGCGCGAGTGGGCGCGAGAGTGGGCGAGCGGGCAAGCCGCCGGCGGGCGAGTCGAGGTACGTGTGCCTGCGCGCCCGGCGTACCCCTACATGGCTGTACATGCTCCGCAAGACGTACATGCTTTCCAGGTTGCACCTCGCTGCTTCGTGAAAAGTGCGGCAAGACGCTGGCGAGGCGAGGCGTGCCGTGTCGTGTCGTGTCGTGGCCCAGGCTCCCTGTCCGAGTGCCTCCAGAGGCTTGGCTGCTCATCCTTCAGCGGGCGGGCAGGTTCGACAGTCGCTGGCCGTTGGCGCGCCCGTGCTCTGCCCCGTTGAAATGGAAAATACAGGTACCTCTCTGCGGCAGGTGCTCCGTCCATTGCCGTCCACCTCCCGCTCGCTCGCTGAGGTGCCTGCCTCCCTGCCCATGCCAATTGAGCCTACCGGCAAGGACTTTCGTATTGTGGCGCGCTGCGCTGCTGCTGATGCTGCCCCTTTGCGTTGCTGCATGTGCCCATCTCCTTGGTGCTCGCCTGCGCCGTGTCCCGTGCGTGCCAATGCCAGTGCCGTCCCATCCCTCCAGACTGTGCTTCTGCCCGGGCATCAACCAGGCGAGGCCCTTCCTTATCGCGGCCCCAGGCACGGCATCCGCACTCCAAACTTCGGCTCTTCGAGGCACCGCCGGAGGCAGGCACTGAAGCAGTCTTGGACAGGACGGGAGGTACGGAGTACCCAAGGTACCCAATACCGGGCTGGAGGGCAGGCCCGCGGCACGTCCGAGCATATTTTAGGCGCTGGGAGCGCTGCAAACTGCTGCCGTGCCCCGTTAAAATTCTTACCAGGCACCCTGGACGGTGGCCGATGGGGACGACGGGAGGTACATGGCCGCGGCCTGTGTCTGGTATTGGGTACCCGCTCGCTGGACAGGGAACCTTGCCTTACCCTCCTCCCGTCCTGCTTGGCCGCCACTCGAACCCCAACCCGCCCTCCTCAGATCAACCCGCTCTTGCCTCTCACCTCTCGCATCCATCAAGCCTCACTCCCTCTCCCTCCTTTTCTGTGCCGTCCCCGACTCTCCTTCGCCTTCTTCGACACACGACGCACCGCTGTGCAACGCGCGCTTTCGAATCTTCTTCACATAGCCCTTTCGACACCCCCGACGCCCCTATCCCATGGTGCTGCGCTAGGCCACTGGACGAATTTGCCCGCCGCGTTGCAGGCTCGCCGCCTCCCCAGCAGCGACACAGATCTTCCTTCCGTGCCCGACGCCGCCAATTTCTTGCCGCTCACACTCTCTACTCATCTGTCGTGCCCGTTCCGTAGACGACATATCCACGGCAAACCAGCAAGCGTCTGTCGCCTGTTTGCTCCAAGCATCATACCTCAGCGTGCCGCACACGTCGTGTCGCCGTCGTACCCAGGACCGGACGAGCCCACGCACGATAGCCCCAACGCCAGCGCTGCAAATTTATCCCTTTCTTTGTGTGAACCATTATCACCACCGTCCATCACGATACTCTACCGACCGTGGATTCACTCGCCGTAGGTAGTCCAGCCAAAGAGGGACAGAACCCGAGCCGGCGCCGCGTCGCTCCCCGTCCCATTTGCTCCCTCGACCTACAGCCATGACCGCCATGGAGACTCAGACTCAGCAGCAGCAACGGCCCGCGCCGACCAAAGCTGCGGGCCTGACGAATATCCTGAACCAGGAAGATCAGCCGCCAAACCACAGCATTCCTCCGCCGCAATTGCGCGATTCCGGCTTCTACTCGACAGCTGAGGCTTCCAGCAAGCGTATGTCATAGACCGAGCATCCCATAGCCAGCAGGCCCTTCTTAACTTTGCTTACAGCCTTTGGTGCAGACACGTCGGCCGCCTCCTTTAGCGCAAACGGCCTTAGCCCGACCGGCTCCAGCTACCAGTCTTCCGCCGACAAGACCCCTTCTCCTGTCGCATCAAACATGGTGCCGCAGGCCCTCCTTTCTCCGTCCGCCAGCAACATGAGCGTTGCCTCCATGGTTTCCCCAACGAGCCCCAGCGGCAACGACCAGCGCCGATACGAGCGACCGACGTCGCTGGAGTCTCACGGGCAAAACGGGGCTACCCTGGGCGAGAACCTCACGCCAGGTGCTGCGGCTGCGCGCCGTGAGAGCGTGGATAGCAGGATCAACCAAGGCTTCAGCGATATGCGCCTGGGAGGCTCCCCGTACACGAGCAACAATCAGTCGACCAGCTCCATCCAGAACACGCTACACTCGCAGCGAAATCCCCGGCCAGGGCTGGAGGCCCTGTCCGTGCACAGGATTTCCAATGGATACCAGCCGAGTGCTGAAAGGAACCCCGAGCCTAAGACGATCAGGACCGCCCCAGCCATCACTGGTCCTGCCACCAGCCACATCGCTCGTGCAGCAGAGCCGACCAAGGGCCAGGCATGGGCTTTCCCCGAGGAGGAGATCCAAAGGGTCGGCCCCCCTGGCAGATACGACGACTCGCGGCGCAGCAGCATCACCGAGTCCATAGCTAGTAGCCAGTTCACCACCGAGTCGCGACTGCCACCCGGTCAGCGCCGGCTCGATGACGCGCCCGATCACGCACGCATGTCGCAGGCATCCGAGTACCCCTCCGTGCACCATCACACGATGCAGCACAAGCAGCTCAGCGACCTACAGGCCGAAGAGGGCGGCGGCCCCACAGGATCGCAGCCGTACAGTCGGACTCCTGAGCTTCGTGTTAGCCACAAGCTTGCTGAGCGGAAACGTCGTACCGAGATGAAGGAGCTATTTGACCAGCTGCGAGACCTGATGCCCCAGGAGCGGGGATCAAAAGCGTCCAAGTGGGAGATCCTGACCAAAGGTGAG